CTGCTAATCATGGCTCCCCGCATCGCCACAGCGTCACGGTGGACGGCGGCCACCGGCGCCGCCGCAGCTCAGCCCGTCGCGACGCCGAGCCGCCTCGTATCCCTCGTGGCTTTCGTCGCGCTCCTGCTCCTCGCAACCGCCGCTCTGCCGGCCGCGGCGCTCGCTGATTCGTCCGAAATGGGGGTAGCAGCGAGCCGTCGGGTTCTGCAAGCCGCGCCCGCAGCAGCACCCGCGGCCGGCTCCGGCGAGGGCGACGCAGAAGCACCCGCGGCCGCGGGGGCCGGGGCAGGGGCGGAGCGGGGGCCGGAGCACCCTCGGTCGGCGCACCACCGGCGCCGTCGCCCAACGCGCCAAGCGATCAGTACAATGACGACGACTACATGCAGGACTACACCCTGGAGCAGGTGCTCGCAGCCGCGGCGCCTCCGGCGGCGCCCGGCGCTCCACCTTCCCCGCCGCCATCCCTGCGGATGAAGGTTCCGATGGCGATCAAGTTCGACGACGTGTCCAAGTCGTTCTTCATTCTCGGCTACCTCGCGAACTCCGTGTGCAAGTTCCCGGAAGGGAAGTCGATCTTTCTTCTTCCACGAACCGCGCGTGGAGCGACGCGTTTGAGGGGTACAAGAAGAGCCGGAGCAGCGGTGCGCTTTACGAGGCTCTCGACGCGGTCGCGAGCGATCGGATCAAGAAGGCGGTGGTTTTCGCGGGAAGGAAGACGAACAGCAAGGAGCTGTCGGCGCTGGCTGACAAGGCCAAGTCGTGCAAAACCTCACGTCGCATCCCATGAGCGAGGCCGCGAGGACCGCGCTCTTCAACCTCATGTCGTTCCACACGGCGGTTTCTAGGGTTACGATCTTGGACCTGGATAGCAAGGTACGCTTGCGGAATGTCCTCCCCCTCCCTCCCCACCCCCCTTCTTCCCCCCCTCCCCAAACCCTCCCTCCTCTATTTGACGGTGTGTGCTTTCGAGTGTATAATCGCTGTTGTTTAACAGGTGTTTGCCACTTCTGTAGTTACACTCTGTTACCACAACAAGCATTTTTTGCTTCGCTCAATTCCCTTCACTCTCTCTCCCCCCGCTCCCTGAAACATAAATATGGGCAGTGCAACGACGCTGGAACGTCCTTCCAGACCGCGTTCAGCAACAACAAATTGAACTTCAAGTGTAACAGCACCAGCAGTGGGCTTGTTTCTGGCTCGGACCCCCTCGCATCTGGCGCGGCTGCTGGTACTTCGTCTGCTGTGGCAATGATCGACGAGCCGCAGAAGGATTATTTCTATGTCAGCACGGTTGTGTTCCCCAGCAACATCGCCTCCCTACCTGGTACGCGTTTTAATATCTTGCAAGCCGGAGTTGGGATTCAAATTTCTCACAGCATGGAAATATATAGTGTGTTTTTACCTTTTCACCTTGCTTTCGTTCTCCAATCCAATGCATAAAATTTCGTATCATCATGGTTCAGAGTACTACACAATGCACCTTCAACATTGAGCGCCATGCACCCACCTGGCCACCTTTCCATTACTCGTTCATCTCCCTACTCCCATTTCTCCTCACCATATCTCTTGCTTTCTCCTGCTTACTCCTATTCCTCCTCCCTCACTCCCATTTCTCCACCCCGCACTCCCATTCCCGCTCCCCACAATCTTGGATTCCAGGTGGCGTTGTCACGGTCTCGCGTCTCTTCTCTGCGCTGCTGGTCCTGGGCGCGGCTCTTGCCTGCGCCCTCTAGATCCCATGGGGTTAGACAGCCCCCCCTCGCTCTACTGCCTAGGAGTGCATGCGATGGAGGAAGAAGCACTTGGGATTTCAGATTCATCGTGCCGTTCATCTTGAAGGCATTTGCCACTGTTTTGCATGTCTTCTGGAACAATTGAAAGGGTGTGCATGCATATTCTATCACTTTTTTGTGAAATCTGAACCCAGAGTTTCATGCAAACGAGCACGAGTAGGTACCTTATGTTACGGTTTGTTGAAGGGTTACGGTTTGTTGAAGGGCTATACAAAAAATAGCTCCTGGTACATATGGTACTGTAATTGTCATGCAGATGGGGGTGGGCTGTCATGCTTATGAGCTGTAATTTCTGTATCATTCAGATTGAGCTGGTACCCTGGCTGATTTCTCAAACACATAAAGGAGATATTAAAGAGATGTTCCCCGCCCCGTCATTATCTGAAACCCAATTACCAAATTACTTACTGTGTTGAAATGCAGGGTACATAAATTGGAAATGAAATATCTATATAACTTTTTGCATACACGCTCACCGCATCGCACCTAGGGATTGTCACCAGCCAGCGAATTTTGTCCTGCTGCTTGCTCATCTGGCTTTGGAATGGGAATGGTTCGCCCAGACCTCCCCTTCTCTCCCTTTTTCCCGTGCGTCTTGCTTTTTCCTCTCCCCTCTTTTCTCCTCCCCTCTGCCTCCTCCGCCTCCTTCCCCCCTTCTGCCGCCTACATCCGTTCTTCCTCGTTCCGGGCGCATTCTGAGAGCGTGAATCGCTGTGCCCTAATAGCGTTCATTTATTAACTAGGTCTAGCCACAGCCCGTCTAGCTGATATAGGGTTTCGTTATTAGCGGTTCTCGTTATAAGGGAGCCCGATGGGGGCGAACGTGAGTCACGCGGCGGCAGCGCCATCCGCACCTCCGCCTCCGCCAATTGCACCCGCGGGAGTTCCTCTGCCCCCCGCGGGCCCGGTTGGCTTGCAACAGGTCGTTCCGCCGGCCGATGCGGCGGGAAACGCGGAGAAGCCTCCGGAGAAAGTGGACTATCTGAATCTGCCGTGCCCGGTGAAATATGAGGAGATCCAACGAGAAGCACTTAGTAAGCACTCCTTAACGAGGATGAATAGAGCGATTGACGTTGTATTTTGACACGGATATTGCCAATCGGTCCGGATCAGTTCAGATCAGATCACGTCCAATAAGTGCATGCCGAATCGATCGTGGCCATTCTGACACCTGCTGCCAGCTGCCATCCGACAGCGATCGATAAGCCCTGATGACCCGAGTCCCACGTGGCATTTCTCCTCTATACTCGCCTGATGATCGTCGATCCTGGTCTATCACTCTGGTCAAGTAGGTTGCCGATCCGTGCCGTGCGTCACTGGAGATTTATAGACCTTCATTAAACGGAGCGCGCTATCGAATATTCGCGTTTTTGGATTATCGTGGATCTGCCGCATTGATGGATGCGGGCTAACGGGGTTGAAGCGAGGGTTTCAGGATAAGGGCTAATGGCCAGTTGGAGGGCTCACGTGCTCATCCGCGCTTAGAACGCGTGATCAGGCTACTAACGCGTTACGTCTCTGGAGATGTCTCAGAAAAAAAGCCGGACGTGCTCATCCGCGCTTAGAGTGCGTGATCAGGCTACTAACGCGTTATGCCTGGAACGATGAACTCAATTCCACCCTTTCTCCATCCGTGACCATTTTCGGCCTCCGTTTCTTCTCAGCTCAGTCGTTCCATTCCAGCCCTTCTTCTCTGCTCCACTGCATCTCACACGCCCTTTCTCCGCCTCGTCGCCTTCCGTTCTTCTCCGCCATTCCCTCCCTCTCATAGTGTATTACGTCCCCCCCCTCTCCCCCCTCCCCCCTCCCCCCCCCCCCCATTCCCCCCTTCTTCAAATAAATAAATAAATAAACTCCCCCCCTCTTCTCTCCAGTTTCTCCCCTCGCCTCTCTCTACTACTCCCCTCTCATTTGCACTGCTCCCCGCCCCACTCATCCCCACTCATCCCTGCTTGCCGCACTTCCCCGTGCCCCTCTCCACTCACCCCCCTTTTTCTCCCCACTCCCCCCTTGCTTCCCCCGTTTCTCCCCCGCTGGTACTCATGGGACCCCTTCACTTCCCCACTCTCATTCTCCTTTAACCTCTCCTCCCCTTTTCCCCCCCTTTTCCCCTTGTCCCCCTTCCCCTTCCCCTCGTGCACTCTCCTCGTCCCCTTGCCGCCCCCCCCCTCCCTCCCTTCCTCCCCCTCGCTCCTCCCTACCGCCCGTCCCCGTGCATCGTCGCGCGCAGTGTCGTTAAAGCCCGACCTCTTCGAGGGCCTTCGCTTCGACTTCAATAAACCACTCAACCAGTCCTTCTCGCTCTCGCACAGGTGATTGTTAGATAGCCCCCAGTCGCTCCCGCACGTGTTTTAGCCCCTTCCCTTTCGCGCGTGCGCGCAGCACAAGTGCATGCTTCCAATTTCTTCGCCTCCTGACTTTTGAGTCGACTCACAAGTGCATGCCTCCAATTCCTTAGTCTCCAAGAGCAACCACTTGATCGTTCCGCTCGTCGCTCATTGGCCCCTTACCCTGTCTGTCTTCCCCCCTTTTCTCCTGCCTTGCTTTCCCTTCTCTCTGAGTCCCTCTAGCGACCTGTGTCTCATTTTCGCATTGTACCTTCTCTTTTACTTCCTCCCTACCTCCCTTCGTCCCCTTCCTCTCCGCCTCCCTCCCTCCCTCCCTCCCTCCCTCCCCTCTCCCTCTCCCCCCTCTCCCCCTCCTCCTCGCTATTCGCGCTCACAGTTTGCAAATGGCAGAACGTAGCACTGCCGTTCGAATCACCTCTGAGTCCATTTCACCGCCTCTTTTTTCCTCTCTCCCCTCCTCTCCCCCTTTCACGCACCTCCCCACCTTCAGTGTGCTGAAGGGCAGCTCCAGTCGCCGGGTCACTCTGAACCCCCCCCCTCCCCCTTCCCCCCCGATCTCTCGCCCGCCTCTCCCCTCCCCCCCTTCCTCCGCACCTTTACCCCCCCCCCCCCCTCCCTTTCGCTCTCCCCCCTCTCCCCTCCCCCCCTCCGTAGTGTGCTGATGGGTGGTGCCGAGGCGCCGTCTCAGTCCCACTGTCACCTCCGCGATTGTATCTTAATCAACACCTTTCCCCCTTTCCCGCATTTTTTCCCATCTCCCCCCTCTTTTTCCCTCCCTCACACACACACCCGACTCATGCAGTGTGCTGATGGGCAGTGCGGAGGTGCCGTCTCAGTCGCCCACTCACCTCTCTAACCCCCCTCCTTCTCTCCCTCCCTCCCTCCCTCCCCTTACGCGCACTTGACTCCCGCAGTGTGCTGATGGGCAGTGCCGAGGTGCCGTCGCAGTCGGGGGGCATTCTGAAGGTGCCGCACTCGTCGTACGAGTTTGGGGCGAATGTGCTGGACGCTAAGGTCAGTGGGATGTGAGAGAGCAAGGTAAGGTGGTGCATTCTGAATGTGTGGGGTAAAGCGGGGCATTCTGAAGGTGCCGCACTCGTCGTACGAGTTTGGGGCGAATGTGCTGGACGCTAAGGCGAGTGGGGCTTGAGAGTGAAGTTGGGGGGGAGGTGGACTAGAAAGTATTATTCCTCTGATTCTGATCCTCCTCCTCCTCCTCCTCCTCCTCCTCCTCCTCCTCCTCCTCCTCCTCCTCCTCCTCCTCCTCCTCCTCCTCCTCCTCCTCCTCCCCTCCCCTCCCCCTCCCGCTCCTCTCTCCTGCTTGCTATACCGCACCACAACTGGAAACTTGAATTGCCTTTCCGTCCTTCATCGAATCGTCATGAGTCAAATTTGAAGATAACACCACATTCCAAATCTAAAGAGACTAACACATTCCATTCTCCCTTGCATGCATGCCCTTTTCTGGAACCTTTGCTCATCGCCTCCATCCCCCCTCCTCCCCTTCATTCCCTGCACCCTCAGCCGTCCGCGAGCATAAGATGCTGAATGGGCGGATGGCAGGCAGGCAGCAGTCCGAGCGTGCAAGAAGAGAACTTTTGAGACGTCTCAAAAGGCAGGCAGCAGGCCGAGCGTGCCAGTGAGCGACCAGGTTGCACCTTGCTTGCCCGTCTTCCTTTTCCTGACTCTTTCTCCGTCGCCTCTCCCTCCCCTTCCCTCTTCCCCTCCCCGGTGCCACGTCACTGCCGCAAGCAGAAGATGCTGATAGGGCGGATGGCGGACGGGAGGTTGAGTGCGCGGGTGAGCTACCAGGTGACGGACAGCGTGGCGTTGAAGGTGAACGCTCAGATCGTCAACGAGCCGCACTTCTCACAGGGCATGTTCCAGCTCGACTACAAGGTGCGTGTGCGTGTGTGAGAGAGTGTATGTGTGCGTGTGTGAGTGTGGGTGGGTTTATGAGAGGGAGAGATTGGGAAACAGCTTAGTTGAGTGCGCGCAGATCGTGAACGAGCCTCACTTCTCGCAGGGCATGTTCCAGCTCGACTACAAGGTGCACGCATTTATTCCTGTCAGAGAGTGTGTTGTGTGTGTGTGCGTGCGTGTGTGTGTGTGTGTGTGTGTGTGTGCGCGCGCGCGTGCGTGCGTGTGTGTGTGTGTGTGTGCGTGCGTGCGTGTGTGTGTGTGTGTGTGTGTGTGTTTGTGTGTGTGTTTGTGTGTGAACCAAGCGAGGTGTCAACACTTAACGGCATTCCTCAATGTGCTTCCCCGACCTCCACCACTGCAGGGGTCGGACTACCAGTGGCAGGCACAGGCGGGCAACAACGCTTTCTACGGAGTGAACTACATTCAAAGCGTCACACCCACGCTCTCTCTGGGAGGAGAGGCCTTCTGGCTGGGCCACCAGCGACGCTCTGGCCTGGGCATTGCAGGGCGCTACAACACCGATAAAGTGGTGAGCTGCTCCTGCTGGTGCGTGCCGTAAGGCATTTGCAGCAGAGCATGTGCAGCAGAGCATGTGCAGCAGAGCATGTGCTCTTCCTCTTCTTTCTCCTGGACAAATCATGCCCATCCCACATCGCTCCAATCCTGCCATCCAGCATCGCTCCAATCCATGCCATCCCGCATCGCTCCAATCCATGCCATCCCACTCATTCAGGTGGCGACAGCACAGGTGGCGAGCACAGGAGTGGGTTTCCATGACCTATGTGCAACGCGTGCTCCAAATCATGTGCCATCCCATATCCCATCTCACTTCCTCCAGGTCGCGACAGCACAGGTGGCGAGCACAGGAGTGGTTTCCATGACCTATGTGCAACGCGTGTCAGATAAGGTATGCGTTGGATATGGTATGAGGCTGATAAGGCATGAGTCAGATAAGTTGTGTGACTTCGGTAAGCATTGAGCCGACTGGAAAGCCACCTCATTGTGGTGTCCATTAGTATGCTCCGTGTTTGAAGAAGTGTTTTGAGACGTCTCATAAGTGTGTTCTCTTTGAGACGTCTCATAATTTGTGTTCTCTTTGAGACGTCTCATAAGTTGTGTTCTCTCTGAGACGTCTCATAAGTTGTGTTCTCTTTGAGACGTCTCAATAAGTTGTGTTCTCTTGAGACGTCTCATAAGTTGTGTTCTCTTTGAGACGTCTCATAAGTTGTGTTCTCTTTGAGACATCTCATAAGTTGTGTTCTCTTTGAGACGTCTCATAAGTTGTGTTTCTCTTTGAGACGTCTCATAAGTTGTGTTCTCTTTGAGACGTCTCATAAGTTGTGTTCTCTTTGAGACGTCTCATAAGTTGTGTTCTCTTTGAGACGTCTCATAAGTTGTGTTCTCTTTGAGACGTCTCATAAGTTGTGTTCTCTTTGAGACGTCTCAAACACTTCTTCAACACGTGACTGGAAAGCCACCTCATTGTGGTGTCCATTAATCTGCTCTGCTCTGCACCTCACGTGTCCCTCCCTTCATCCATACCTACCTTCTCATCCGTCCATCTCTTCACCCATCCCTATCCATCCACCCTCTTTGCCCTTCTCCCCTCATTGCCCGTTCCAATCCTCACCAGGTGGCCCTAGCAGCCGACTTTTTGCACAACTGGAACAGCAAAGAATCGGCCACAAGTGTGGGATATGATTATATCCTGCGCCAGGTGTGTACAGGGAGCTATGGGATACGATTTTATCTTGCGACTGGCTTTTGTTTGTGTCTGTAATGAGTGGTTAGTGTAGAGGGATGCATGTGCGTACTGCATTGTGCCCCAGGTATGGGTGTGTGTGTGTGCCTGTAATGAGTGGCGAATGAGATTATACAGGGACGTGCATGGCAAGGCAACTGCATTGTGATGCAGGTGTGTGTGGCTGTAGCAAGAGGTGACTGTAATGGGTATCAGTCACTATCACCAGATGACAGGAACAAGATGGCTGAGATAAGATGACTGTAATGAAGGTGCCTGTGATGGGGGCAGTTAGGTAGGAATAAGGCTTTGGGGGGGTGAGTATAAGGCTTTCCCTTCCCCTTTAGACCACCCTGATTTCCTTGTGTGTGTTCTTGCCAACACTCCCGTTCCCGCACTTCATTCCCATTCGCACTCCACCATTCACTGCACTCTCATTCGTCCCTCACTCTTGCACCTGGCTCTCTTTCGTTCCTCACCCCCCGCTTCCCCACTCTCCACCCCACTCTTGTGACCTCTACTCTGATGTGATTGGTTGAGTAACTGCCTCTGCAGCATTCACAATTCATCCAACCCACCCCTGTCCTCTCACAATAATTCCCGATTTCCGCTGGCCCTGCAATCCCCTCTTTCTCCTGCGTCCCTTCCCCTTGTATTTTCCACCAACCACTGTTTTCTGGGGGCTGCTAGACACCAATGGCTGTGTGGCACTTTGTGTGGCATAGAATCGTTCCCACTCCTCCCCCCCCTTATGATTTTCCTTCGATTTTCGCATTCTTCCCCTCTCCCCACCTTGTGTTTCCACCAATCAGTGTCGGCTGCGGGGGCGGCTGGACACCAATGGCTGTGTAGCGGCCTATTTGGAAGAAAGGCTCAATCTTGGTGTTAATCTCCTTTTCTCTGCAGAGGTATTTTAATATTGAGAGTTGATGTCTGATGGTTTCTGTTTGTATGCATTGCTGCTTCTATTTCGGCTCGCAATGTCTTCCCATGCCCTTTCAATTCTTAACATTCCTAATCCGGTCTTTGTTACCCAGGTGCTAACCTTTTCGTGTTGCACTTTCAGGTGGATCACTGGAAAAAGGACTACAAATTCGGATTCGGCATGTCTGTTGGGGAGTAGCTGATCTTGGTGATCTTGCCATGAACTAAACCTCTGCAATTTCAAGGTTGCAGATTAGATGAATGTCTTGTGGATGGTTACCAAGAGTTATCATGTAGGTTTTTTCTTGCTAGGCCTAACGCTCAGTACTCTATACAAAGAATGTTAGTTCTTCCAAGTCTATTCGGTTTTTTTTATGAGCATATTTTGGAGATATTGTTTCCCAGGCTGTACCAACTTTGAGAATCGAATTCGGTATGTTTCCATCGTGAACTCCAAAAGCTGACTATATCGGCTTCCTTTGCACGCGTTGCGCTCGAGTTGTAACCCTCTGTGACGAGACCACGGAACTTTCGCAACAGTCGTGTAAAATATTCCCAGGGAGCTCATTCTGGGGAGTGCCATTCAGATATCACGTCACATTTCTTCACTGGGAGGTCCGCGAAAAGATTATATTTCGTTTGTAACTCTTTCCGAAAGGGCTGAACAAGGAGACTACCTTGAAGAGCGCGGCTCGTTCAGCATCGGAGCGCGTGAGGTGAAAAGTGGGCTCGAAACATGCTGCCAGCAATAATCATCCTAACACCAGCTCGCAAACACCAATAATCGTGGAATGTGAGAGCAAAACACTACAACATAGCAGCAGCGGTTCTGTTGTGGAGGTACAAAAGGCGTGAGCAAATCTGATTCACTCGCCATTTCACGTTCAGTCAGGAACAAACACCAGAAGCTCCTCCTGCCTGGTAGAATGTCCCTTGTTGCCCACGCCATGGATCCAAATGCATGTCTCGCGCGGGTGGTAGGCATGCTAGCTGTCATTCTGTCCTTGATTCATTTCAATCTGCCTTTGCCCTTCGAGTGCTAAGCAATCCCGCAGCAGCCCATACCAGTGCTGATAGTAGCGAAGCTTCTCTAGCGGGAGCTTCAGCTGCTACTGCCTCTAAATCGAATAGAGGTCCAGAGGCAGCGAGCGTGATGCAGAGCGGTGCAGCGGACCCGTGCACGCTGTGGAGTGAGGAAATCGCCAAGAATGCAGCGAGCTGGGACGTTGCGAAGCCCTCTACAGTTCGCGAATGCTTGCGAAATTTTAAAATCAGGTATGCGCGCACCTAGTAAACGAGAGGCTGATATAAATACTTACATTGATCAATCAATGGCACTGACCTTCTGGAAAACAAGCCAGCTCCATTTGAACAAGCTTTTCTGTTTCCGCTAATTCCATTTCTCGACTTCGAGCAGGGAGAGTGACGTGGAAGATCTTCGGTCGGTGGTCAACGGAGTCAACAATCACTACGTGTACAAGGACATCGCCGTTGACTCGCCCGACCAGACGAACCTTCCCAGCAACGTCGACATCGTCGCAGAGCTAACGGCCATTCTGCAGCGCGCCGAGCAGGGCGAATACGAACGGCTGATGACGCCCACGTGGACACGTTCAACGCGCTCAACGGCCTGAACGACGGGCCACACCATGTTCTCGTCCAATTGCTTCTTCGGCACGGCCAGCTTCTTCCTGCCTCTCCCGCTTTTCGCGGTCGTGGAGGACGGTCAGCAGATCGTTCGCGTCGCCACGCGCCGATGTGAGTCTGCCGCGCCGCTTCTGAGAGAAGTTCTCTCACAACGCATAACACGCACGGCGCACACACGAGCTCGTTTTCCCAACTCAAAGAACTGTGCTTCGTTTGTATTACGCTTCGTTAATGTGTATAAGTAATGGTCTCCGTGGCCGCGTTTCACTGTGCTGGCATCCCGTTCAGACCTGGCGTGGTTCGACGGAATCGAGGAGGACGCGAAGAACATATGGGGCTTCGATTTCTCCGCCTACGAGTTACAGCAGGTACACTAGAGTAACCAAACACCTGCATTGAATCGGAGACCATTCCTGTTTGCCTCTCCATCACTCTCAGCTACTCTCTCGCTACATCAATTGCCCTCTCTCTCGCCCTCCCACTTTCCTTCCCACAGGTGCTCACAATCGAGGGCCAGCCGGCAGTGGAGTATATAAAGCAGTGGGCGGATAAGCACGGCGGCATGGTGCGCAACCCCAGTGCGCGCTTCAACATGATGTTCGCGGGGCTCGACCCACAGGGAAGAGCCAGCTTGTTTCAGCACCCGGGGAGTTCGCTCTCAGGGAGCTGGTGCCAGAGAGCGACTCGCTGCAGGTGTCCATTCTCAAAGGGTGAGTGAGAGCCTTCCGTACTGCGGGCGCGTCAATTGAAGCCCTGAATCCCTGCGGGCTCGACCCAGAGCGGAGAGCCAGCTTGAGCCAGCACGCGAGGGAGTTTGTTGTGAGGGAGCTGGTTCCAGAGAGCGACTCGCTGCAGGTGTCCATTCTCAGAGGGTGAGTGTCTCGAGTCCCGAGCTCCCATTCTCAGAGGGTGAGTGTCTCGAGTCCCGAGCTCCCATTCTCAGAGGGTGAGTGTCTCGAGTCCCGAGCTCCCATTCTCAGAGGGTGAGTGTCTCGAGTCCCGAGCTCCCATTCTCAGAGGGTGAGTGTCTCGAGTCCCGAGCTCCCATTCTCAGAGGGTGAGTGTCTCGAGTCCCGAGCTCCCATTCTCAGAGGGTGAGTGTCTCGAGTCCCGAGCTCCCATTCTCAGAGGGTGAGTGGATGGCTGTCACGAGCTCAGAAGCTTTCATCGACTCCCACCCCTACTGGGCCCTCAACTGCGTTGCTTTGCTTTGTTTTGTTTTGTTTTGTCTGGGCTGTACCCTGGTTGGGAGCAACAGGGGAGCAGCAGAGAACGTGAGTGTGCCGTGGATAGCTGTTTCAAGCTCAGAGGCTTTCACCGACTCCCTTCCTACTGGACCCTCAACTGCATTGCTCTCTTTTCTTTTGTCTCTGCTGTTACATCTGGTTGGGTGGGAGCAACAGGGGGGCAGCGGAGAACGTGAGTGTGCCATGGATAGCTGTTTCAAGCTCAGAGGCTTTCACCGACTCCCTTCCTACTGGACCCTCAACTGCATTGCTCTCTTTTCTTTTGTCTCTGCTGTTACATCTGGTTGGGTGGGAGCAACAGGGGGGCAGCGGAGAACGTGAGTGTGCCATGGATAGCTGTTTCAAGCTCAGAGGCTTTCACCGACTCCCTTCCTACTGGACCCTCAACTGCATTGCTCTCTTTCTTTTGTCTCTGCTGTTACATCTGGTTGGGTGGGAGCAACAGGGGGGCAGCAGAGAACGTGAGTGTGCCATGGATAGCTGTTTCAAGCTCGGAGGCTTTCACCGACTCCCACTCCTACTGGACCCTCAACTGCGCCAAGCACCAAGAGCCCTGTGCTGACGACGCTGCTGCTGGCAACGCCGCAAGCACCACCAGCAGTAGCAGCAGTAGCAGTAGCAACGAAGAGAGGGATTTGCGGAAACCGCCTCCTGTGTTCAAGCGTGATGTGCTGAGGAGACGACCCCAGTATCAAAAACGCCAGCAGCCCCACAGGCGGCAGCAGCAGCCGCAGCAGCAGCCGCAAGAGAGGCAAGAACAGAAGGAGCAGAGCAACGACGCGGTTACACCCAGGATACTGGCCGACGCGGACGGGGCAGCGATTACAGTGGAGAGAGTGTCTGCTGAAGATGCCTATTACCTGGTATGGGGTTGTGACTGTATGCGGATGCGACTGTATGCGGGTGTGACTGTATGCGGGTGTGACTGTATGCGGGTGTGACTGTACTGCATGCTGGTGTTGACACCTTTCCCCTGAACGCAAACATGCACCTCAATCAAACTCCCAGATTTCCCCTCCGCATCCCTCCTCTCTCCCCTGTCCAACCCCTTTCAACCGCACTGCATCCCTCGCAGGTGTATCTATTGTATCTCCCCGGCAGTGATAGTGCTGCACATATTCGACGCGGACAGCACCACGGCGAGTAAGCTGACCGCCACCAACCCTGCCTTGCAACCCTCTACAACCCTTTCCACCCCTCCGCGCCCTCATGCACCCCTCTTCCCCTCGCAGGTGTATCTGGTGAGCAACCGCACGGCAGTGATAGTGCTGCACACGTTCGACGTGGACAGCACCACGGCTGAGGAGCTCGCAGTCACCAGCCCGGACGTGCACCCCGTTGACTACCTCGCTGAAGAGATTCTCAAAGCCATGGACGCTGCCAGGAGGTACGCTTGCCCTTTTTCTCTCCCTGCTCGCCCTCCCTGCTCGCCTTCTTTGCTCCTCCTCTACAGCGCAGCCACCAGCCCGGACGTGCACCCCGTTGACTACCTCGCCGGGGAGATTCTCAGAGACATGGACGCCGCCAGGAGGTACGCTAGGGCTCCCTGCTCGCCCTCCCTGCTTGCCCTCCGCTCTTGCCCACCAATTTTCCCCCCTTCAAAAACCTTGTTCTCTCGAAGGATTTTAGAATCTCCTCCCCCAACTTCCCCCAAAACGTCCCCCCCCCCGCCCCCCGCGCCTCCTCCCCCCGCGCGCAGCACCAACTGCGCGGAGGTCATATTCGACGTGCGCGTGAACGGCGGCGGGTTTACCGCGCTGGGCTCAGTCACAGTCGTCACCCTTCTCGGCACGCGCAACGTGCCTCTAGCGGACGCAACCCTACCCATGGACTTCATTATAGGCACAAACTTCACGTGGAGCCTCATGGAGGATCAGGCCATTCCAGACTACGCAACGGACGGCTATACGCATCCCGGCGACGGCGCGTCGGTGCTCTCGTCTTCGCAAGACTACACTCCTCTGCAGAACATCTCGTTTACAGAGGCCGGTCGCGCCGGCACCTATACCGCGGATTTTAAGTCGTATTTCGAGAATTTCTACGGCGGATTGGCGGAGCGCGCGGGATCCGCGAAGCCGTTTTTCGGCGCGCGGCCGTTTCTGTTTCTGGCGGACGGCGACTGCTTTTCCACGTGCGCCATCCTCACGCACATGCTGGGTAAACGCTACAAAGTACCCATGGTAACCGTGGGTGGTTACCTCGATCAGCCCGTGTCCGTGAGCGCGTCGTGCCTGGGCTACACCATGCTCTCGTTAAACTGCGCCGTCTCGGTTCCGCTAAGCCGCACGAGCCACGCCAACGACCCGCGCGCGTCGAAAACCGTTTAAGACGAACATGGATGTTTCCATGGCGTTTACTAACGGGTATGTGGACTCGAGCGTTCCGTGCGAGTTCGAATTTCTGCCCAGTCAGCGCCACGTAGACTACACCGTAGATCGCATCGACAAGCCCGAGGTCACCTGGAGCGACGTCGCGAAACTCTTCCAGGAATTGCCGCTGCCATCGGTGATCGCTCAGTCGCAGGCTGCAGCGTAACTCTTCCGAAACTGCACCATCAGTCACACTAGCGGCTTGGCGAATAATGGGGAGTTGCCAACCCAATCATCCTAGCATTACCTAGCGAATAAGCAACTCCCCGTGTTTGACGCGTTGAACGCTTCGTTATTGTTACGGGTGCAATGAATCGAAGTAGCGAGAATTGCACTAAGGTGTCAAACGAGTACAAAGATGTGAGCGAAGGCATGAGCGAACATTTATATGCGAAGCATGCAAACGGTAACGCGGTGCGTGCGAGCTAGCTAGTGCTGTGCTGGCAGCGAGGCTCGGGCTAGTCCCGAAGCGTAGGCCGACACGGCCGGGCCAGCAGTGCGAGGTTTGGCAAAACAGTGCGCGCGAAGTTGGCGAAGTTCCGTTAGCAGTAACGGGCGAACAACGGCTGTTGCTGTACGCGATGTAGTCGGGCTCCGTAAGGAATGCCGAGAAAATTCCTTACACTACCCCCCCCCTCAAGAAGCCCCCTCCGCTACGCGAGTGCGTGTATGTCGCGGAATCCCCAGCTCCTCAGGTACACTTGCAGGGCAGGGTGGTTTTCAATGTTGGCCAGGGCACCCAGCTATCCTCAGTTGGCGTGCGGTCCTTCCAGCGAACGAGGAATTCAATCCTCCTGATTCCCGTGGGGTGTCGAATCCGATGGCTCAGGATTTTTTCGGGCTCGATGATCGGCTCCGATGCAGGGCGAGTCATGGATGGCGGACGGTGGCGAGGCAATTGGCTTGTGGTTGGGATGTATGGGCGAAGTAAGCTGACGTGGAACGAAGGGCTGATGTACCAGTCGGTCGGTAACAGTAGGTGCGCGGTTACTGGCGTGATCATGTGGCTGATTTGGAATGGGCCACAGTAGCGCGGTCGCAGTTTTGGTACGTCGGGCAGTCGCAGGTTTTGCGTGTTGAGCAGTACGTAATCCCCTGACTGGTAGGTGACGGGTCGGCGGTGGCGGTCAGCGTTGCGCTTAGCGATGACATTTGCTTTTTAATTGCTTCCGCGGCTCTGGTGCGGGCAGCTTGCAGAATTTCGGCGAATTGTTGTGCACGTGGTGTCGGGTTGTCCGGACTCGGCGTCATGGGCACTGTAGGATTTTGCCCGTAGTTCAGGTAGAAGGGGGACTGCTGCGTCGTCGCTGACGTGGCATTGTTGTACGTGAACTCGATCAGCGGCAGCTGTTGCTCCCAAGTCGTGGGGTCGTCGCACGTGGCACGAATCAACTGCTCCATCGTCTGATTCGTCCGCTCCGTTTGGCCGTCGGTCTCGGGGTGGTACGACGAACTGAACTGTAGCCTGGTCCCGAACTGCTCCCAGAGGTTTTTCCAGAAGTTGCTGGTAAACTTTGTGTCCCTGTCGCTGATAATCGCTGCTGGTATCCCGTGCAGGCGAACAACGGCTGCGATGAACAGACGAGCGGTCTCCTCGGCTGAGATCGACTTTTTGCACGCAGCGAAGTGTGCCATCTTCGTCAGCCTGTCAACGACGACCATCACCGCGTCGTTACCCCCAGGGTTCGAAGGTAACCCTGTGACGAAGTCCATGGTAACCTGCTGCCAGGCGCGCTCGGGCGGTGGTATCGGCTGCAATTGACCCGCCTTCCGCTTCCTCGAGCTCTTCATCACCTGACACGTGGGGCACGAGCCCACGTGCTGCTGTAACGTCGGTCAACAGCTCCGGCCAGTAATAATACCGCTGCAATTGCTGTCGCGTTTTTTCTACCCCAAAATGTCCCGAGGTAATTCCGTCGTGTGCCTCCTGCAGTAGCAGCTCCCTCAGTAGTGAGTACGCAGGTACCCAGATGCGGTTGGTGCCTGTTTTTACGTAATAAACTCCTTTAGCTTCTGCCAGTTGCTGTGAGTTTCCGGTCGTGAAAAATGGGTCGGTGCGGTATCCGTGGGTGAATAGGCCTGTTAACAGCGGGTTGGTCTGGGCGAGTAGGATGGCGTGGAGTTGGGCGGTAGGGCGGGTGAGTGCGTCGGCGATGTTGGATGCGCCTTTCTTGTACGTAACCGTGTAGTGGAAGTTGGACTCGAGGTACCGTATCACCCCGGATATAAGCGCAGGCCTATGTTAAGCGCATGCGCTTATATCTGGAGCAATGCGCTTATGGCCGATCCTCAATTATAAGCGCACCCCCTGTAAAACCTTGACTTATTATAAGCGCATCAATAATTCTACTATTAAATCCTAATTAATACAGTAACGATTTCCCTTTTTGCAGCGAGTCCAGATCCGTCCCTACTTGTTTGACTCGCTCGAGGGCGAGCGATTCGCAGGAGAAGCGAAACGGCGCGAAGCTGACTGACAGCACATCGTTGGGAGGGGGGGGGAGGGAAGATGGGCGCTGGAAACGACTGTCCTGTGCATTGTGCGAGCGAAAAAGGGGCAGGCGGGGGGGCTCGGGAACGACTGTGCCTCTGCGTTGCGATCAAGCGACTCCGTGCGGGCGGGTGCAGTTTGCGGGACTCGTACGCGATTGGCTGGAGGCCGTTCCCGAAATCCTGCAACAGTACTGCTCCCACAGCGATGTCACTTGCGTCGGTGACGAGCTCGAACGGACGGTGTGGATCTGCGATGTGAAGCACGGGCGGTGAGCACAAAATGTTTTTGAGGGCCGAGAAGGCAGCTTGCTCTTTCTCCCCCCACGTGTACTCAACCCCCTTCCTCAGCAGGTCAGTCAACGGGGCAGTCAGCTTCGCCATGTCGGGGACGAACCGGCGCACGTAGTTGACGAACCCCAGAAAACTCTGCAACTCGGTCAAGTTGGTCGGCGCGTGCCAAGCTTGAATCATCGCAATTTTCTTCGGGTCTATTTCCACTCCTGCGGCTGAAATAACGTGTCCCAAAAACTCTAGACGGTCCTGTAAAAACTCACACTTAGACGCTTTTGTCAGTAGGGCGGTTTTCACTCAGTATTTTAAAAACTGCTTCGATGTCCTGTAAGTGTTGTGTTCTGTCAGGGCTGTAAATCAGTATGTCGTCCAGGTATACTATGACAGATAATCTAAGAGTGGGCGGAAAGCTTCGTTCATGGTCATTTGGAAAGTGGCGGGGGCGTTGGTCAGTCCGAAGGGCATGACGGTGTATTCGAAGGATCCGTAGCGTGTTCGGAATGCGGTTTTAGGGCAGTCGGGCGGATTGACGCGAATCTGATGGTAACCCCCCCGGAGGTCGATTTTCGAGAAAACCCGGGCTGTGCGCAGTTGGTCGATCAGTTCGTCGGCTCGTGGGATGGGGTAACGAGATTTGATGGTAACCCTGTTCAGTGCTCTGTAATCTATGCACATGCGAAATCCCCCGTCTTTTTTCGGTGTGAACAGTATCGGTGCTGCGAAAGGCGACGAACTAGGGCGAATGAACTCCTTCTCGAGCAGGTAATCGAGCTGCTTCCTCAGTTCGTCCAGTTCGGGCTGGGTCAGTCGGAACTGTCGCTGTACTGTTGGCTGTGCCCCCGGTTCCAATTCTATTCTGTGATCGTGCGGTCGCTGAGGTGGCAGTCCCGTCGGTAAGTCGTCCGGGAAAATGTCGCTGTACTGCTTCAACATTGCTGCCAGGGTCACTCGGTACGTCGGTCAGCAGTTTCTGCAAATCCCCTCCCTTGTCTGCTGCCTCGGCTTCCCGAATGTCGACCGCGTACACGTCAGCTCCTGCCACTACGGCGCGTTTCATCGTGATCGCGTTGACACGCACCGATGAAGACTCAGGCGAGCCCCAGCGAGGTAGGGCGATGTTGTTACCTCGCACGGTGCAGTCACCCGTCGTCCAGTCGATTCGCGGATTGTGTCGTCGCAACCAATCACGCCCGAGTAAAATATCGGTTCCGTCGAGGGTCGTTGCGAGCATTTCTTGGCTAAATGTGAAGTTAACCCCGCATCGAATCCGAACCCGGTCTAACGCGTTCCCGTATTGCCAGCGGCGTGCCGTCTACCAGGCGTGAGTCGATCTCAGGTAAACATCTGTCCAGTGGCAGTCGCAGTTTTCGTGCTGTAGCAGTGTTGATGAGGCTGTGGCTGGCTCCCCCGTCTACGAAGATTTTAACTAAGTCCGTCCCGATTTTCCCACTAAGCAGTATAGGGCTGTCTACCGTAGTACCCTCCTTATTCGGCCGGGTGTGGTCGATTGCGTGAACCGGCACAATCACTCGGTGAGGGTCGGTTGGGTCGGGCGAGCGTCTTGACCTGTCAGTAGAGGGCCCGTCTGCTACTGACTCCCAGCGTTTCCCTGCTGCTTGGTCTGTTTCTGCTGCTCAGCTTCCCCCTTTCCCTTAGCGTTTTCCGGGCATTCGCTCTTGCGGTGTCCCGGCCGATTGCACGCGAAGCAGCGCCCTTTGAACGGTGCGGCAGCGGCATTCGCGGCGACGGCACGTATCGTAGCGCCCTCGTTCGTCCCACGAGACCGATGTCCCCAGTTGCTGCTACTGCCGTAGGACCCCGGTCTCGGTCGGCGGAAGAAGTCGAGCTTCTCCGCCATAGCGAGAATCTCCTGAAAATCGGTGACGCCGCGAAGCTGAATTTCTTGAGCGATGTCGTGCTTCAGGCCGCCGATGTAGCGGTCGATGCGCTCACTCTCATGCATGTAGCCCACTTGCTCGCATAGCGCCAGAAACCCGCTGATGTAGTCCTGGACGGAACCGAGTTGGCGCCAAGTGCGGAGCTTCTGTCGCGCCGCGATCGAAGCCGCAATTGGCTCAAATCGAGCGCGCAGACCTGCGCACCACGCGTCCCACGTGCGATATTGGGGCACCTCCACGAAATACGACGGCGCCCAGGGTCCAGTTTGTCCTTCCCGTGTCGGTAGAGTCGCGTAGTCATTCGGCTTCGTGACGATGACGCGCCACCAGTCCATGGCGGGTCCTCGCAGCAGCGACACGGCGTAGCGAATTTTCGCCGAATCCTCCGAGACGTAGTTGGCGTCGAAAAACACGTTCATCGTGAACAACCACGCCTGAACGGTAGGACCACCCCGTTGGGTCGGTGCCAAAATCGTGACGCGAGGCTGACTTGGGGCCGCATACGTCGCTCCGGGGTGTGTCGTGCCGTGGTCGTCGTCTCCGTCGGGGCGGACGACGCCATCACTGGCCGCGCTCGCGGGATTGCCCCACACTTCCGTGCTGTGATGTCTGTGGTGCGGGCTGACTCGGAGTGCCATGTGCTTGGGATTGTGCCCGTGTGAGGTCATTTTGCAGGGATGAGCGTTCTGCCGTCAGCGTCGCAATTTCCTCGGCGCTCTCACGGATTTGTCGCAGCAGATCGTTCAAATGCTCCTGCGTGAGGGTCGTGACGTCAATATGTTCAGCCATTTCGAAGGACGTCGGCTCGTCTTAGTCTAGGCGCAGTCGTGGCTGCACGCGTTTACGAGAGAACGCGAGGACAGCGGCTCCTAGGTGCTAAGGTACGTAAGTCCCTTCGAGTGAAAAATCAAAAGTTGATTTCATGGGGTGCGGAGATGCGCGGTCCGAAAGAAAAGGGGCTCTGATACCAAGTGTTACGGGTGCAATGAATCGAAGTAGCGAGAATTGCACTAAGGTGTCAAACGAGCACAAAGATGTGAGCGAAGGCATGAGCGAACATTTATATGCGAAGCATGCAAACGGTAACGCGGTGCGTGCGAGCTAGCTAGTGCTGTGCTGGCAGCGAGTCTCGGGCTAGTCCTGAAGCGTAGGCCGACACGGCCGGGCCAGCAGTGCGAGGTTTGGCAAAACAGTGCGCGCGAAGTTGGCGAAGTTCCGTTATCAGTAACGGGCGAACAACGGCTGTTGCTGTACGCGATGTAGTCGGGCTCCGTAAGGAATGCCGAGAAAATTCCTTACAGTTATACAGCCACCCGCTCTACTGGACTACAAACTAGACAAGCATTTGCATCACATTACTAGCTTTCTGTCCAGGTGTTTCTTATGCTTCGCTATGAAATTACTCACTATACACTATACCCGCCATACTGACACGGGAAATTTGTAGCACAATGGATTCAGCAATTTAATTCCCGTTATACGTTCGTTCGTGCGCCTTTGATCTCCGTGAGACTTTTACTGTGGCTATGAGATGAAGGTGCTTGACTCATTATGAATCGTGGCAGGGAAACCAGGAACAAGCACACACCATCGTGATCAACTAAAAACCATCAGCACGACAAACTACCCACCCCCCATCAACATAACAAAGCCCCCGAAAGCACGATAAACTATCACCACCAGCGTAAGCAAAGACTTGCCTCATTTTCAGCCAACACCACACATGATACGTGCATGAACAACCCTGAAGCGGTGTCAAAGGGACTACCTTCATCACTGTTGGGGCTGCTTGATGGATGGACTAGGCAGCAGGGGAGGCTAAGAGCTTGGCCACCTCACTCCAAATGGCCCAGGGCTTGTCAATGAGATCAACGGTGTAGTTAATGTGATGCTGGCTGGGCAGAAACTCAAACTCGCACGGAATCTCCGAATCCACATACCCGTTGGTAAACGCCATGCCAACCGACCCTTTCACCTTGAGAGGTAGCGACGCCATCTTTGGCACTAAGGCAGCGAGATTGCTGAGGCCTGGTGCCATCGCATAGATATCAGGAATAGTAAACCCGAGGCACGAGGAGCTCACATCAGGGGGCTGGTTGGGCAAACCACCCACGGTTACCATGGGCACTTTGTGGCGTTTCCCCAGGACGTGCGTGAGGATTGCGCAGGCTGAAAAGCAGTTTCCGTCCGAAAGGACCAGGAAGGGGCGGTCGCCAAACACCGGCTGCTGCTCCTTCCCTGAAAACTTGCTATTCATCTTAAACGGCGCCGAGTAGTTCCCAACAGGGCCGGCTTTTGTGAAGCGGAGCTCGCGGAAAGGAGCGTAGCTAAAGACGCTGGAGAGGTCGGTGCCATTGAGGTCAACATATGGATTAAAGCAGTAGAGCATGGATGGGTCGAGTGAGAGCGCGCTCATGGCATTCTCAGTGTACTGGGTACCGATGTTGAAATCCATCGGCATGGCGAAGGCAGAGTCGGGGACCTTGGCTGCCCCCATGAGGAGACGGATGGCTGTGTATGCGGCAAGAACGGAGCCGCCACCGTTGCCCCGCACGTCTAGGATGACTTGAGAGGCGCCGGATCTGGAGGGAGAGGGGGAACGGGGGGACGGGGGGGACGGGAGGGGGGGGGAGCATGGAGGGGCACATGAGCGTTGCTGCTGCGGTGGGACCGCCCGCCACCGTTGCCACGCAGGTCTATGATGATCTGAGAGGCGCCGGATCTGGATGGGGGGCATGGGGTGACGCACATAGCACAGATGGGGGGAGGTATGGGGTAACACATGGGAGAATGTGTGGGGAAACGAACGCACGGGGAAGAGACATGGAAAGAGGGATGGGGGAAAGGGCAAGTAGCGGAAGGGTGGGAAAGTGATGAGGATAAAATGTGAGGTGAAAGATGAGTTGAGAACAGGGTACTAGCATGAGACATGGAGTGGGGACATCAGTGGGTCTGGAGGGGTAGAAGGAAGGGGGGATGTGACGCTGCAGGGTCAATAGATTAACAACTAGAGGGTAGAGGTAAAGGAGTACTGACGCTGCTGCGGTATTAAAAGCCTTAGTGACCTCCGTAATCATATACTGCTCCTCATTGATCTTCTTCGCCTCCAACGCCTTCGCCACCTCGCCGCTGGGACTGAACTGGTGAATCCAGACCACAGCCGTGGTGCCGCCCACCAGGTATACCTGCACGCATGCACACATGGACACATGGACACATGGACACATGCACACATGGACACATGGACACATGCACACATGCGCACATGTGCACGTGCACACACACAGACATGCACACGTGCACACGTGCGCATGGGCACGGCCACACACACAAACTAACAAGTTGGCCGGGCGTTATTAGCCCCACACGCCATGAGACAACAACTAGAAAGCAACCCAAGGATAAAAACTTGATAGCACCCATCACGCAAGAATCAACACAACCTCCACCATTCATCCCAACGACTGAAGGCAACCTCCTCACCAGAAAATCATCAGTCGTTGGTGAAATCCTCTTTACGGTCGGTCCCGCTGCTGCAGCAGAAAGCGACGCAATCTCGACATTCAGGTGATCGCCACTGCCATCGCTCGTATCGTCGTGGTAGTAGACTGGAGCGGGATGGCGTTCGAGAAACCTGTCCATCACCGGAATGTCCGCATGACCGACTGAGCTTGTCTGCGCGCCTGGCTGCGCGCTGTTGCCGCCAGCAACTGATGGGTCCTTCACGGCACAGTATGCCTTCCAGTACCCCGTGGCATTTGCAAAGACGGAAAGCGCAAATGTCCCGATCCATGGCACCTTTACGTCTTCCGTCGAGCTTCCATCCCTGGGAATGGCAGCAAAAAGGAGAACAGGCGGGGTGGGAAGTGGGACACATGAAGCGTGAAGGAGGTCCGATTAGGAGGACGCGTGAGCTAAACTCAGCAAGCAAGCAGCAGGGAAGAATCCAGAAGAGAAAACGGCAGATGCAGCGAAAGTTAGCCAATGAGCAGCAAGTACTGTAGCTCACGCTGTTGCGAATGACACCAGTAAGGTGTCATCTTCGGGAGCATAGAGTCGCCGGGCGAATTCGCCTGGCACCTGAACGATACTCGTCCCTTTCACCGTTCCTGTTCCTGCCGCTTCATTCCTCGCGAAAGCTTTCGTGAATCGCGAAGCGCGATTGCGAAACATGCCCATTTCCTTGTCTGCCCAATTCAGGATGAATGTTTCCGCTTTGACCCCGTTTATAGCCACAACCTGCGACACGCATCATGAAGCATTAGTTTAGATAAAGCGTGTAAAGCTCGCTTGCAGGGAGTATTAAATAATAGGAGCACGGAGATTAGCTAGCGAACATACCTGTCGGCCTTCGTAAAGGCCGAAATCAAAATTGTGCACAACCTTCGCAACATGGTCCATGCCCTCGGGAGTGACATCTGGCCAGAGGTAATAAATAAGAGGAACACGGAGTTTGATATTTAGGGGTACTATGCTTTGAAGTAGGGTGCTGAGGAATATGACGTTGGAACAACTCATCACCAGAGGTGTGATCTCACATACTGGAACACTCAGATCGGCGTGGCACAACGCGGCAGAGTGCGGAAAATCTTATCTTCATTCAACAACCCTCACCGGGAGGGAATGTACTGAGCAACACTCACATCGGCGCGGCGCAACGCGAATGATCTGCTGCCCGTTTTCGACGACAGCCAAGAGCGGCAACGGCAAGTCGAAAGTACCCATGAAGCATTGCGGCATGAAAAAGCTATGCCCGTCGTTGAGCGCCCACACCGCCCGGTACGCCGCCATGTGCGCGTCCACCAGCCGCGGGTACTTCCCCGCGGTGGCGTTCGCGAGGATCTCTCTCAGATCCGCGACAATATCGATGCTGCTCGGGAGGTTCGTCTGGTCCGGCGAGTTGACGGCGATGTGCTTGTACACGTAGTGATTGTCGAACGCGTTCGCGATTGACAGCAGGTCCGCCACGTCGCAGTCCTTCCTGCCAGATCACAAATAGGGACAATCGCGAATAGGGACAATCGCGAATAGGGACATTCGCGATTATCGTGAGATTGGGAAATCTGTTCAGCACATTGAAAACGTAGTGATTGTCGAACGCATTCGCGATCGACCCCCCACGTCGCAGTCCTTCCTGCCAGATCACGGATAGGGACAATCGTAGAACAGCAATCAGGCCAACATCATATTCGAGCGGAGCAAGCGTGGAGTTCGGTTTCAGTAGCCATTATCAGCGAAGATAAAGGAATAGAGAGAAAAATATATATATATTCACAGTACAAGACTAGCAGTGGCAGTACCTGAACAGGAACGTGGAGTGGCAGGCGCTGAAGAGAGAAGGAGAAGCGAATCCTTTCCCTCCAGTCTTGGCCATGCCCCCCAATTTCACGGCAGTGCGCTTCAGCTCCGCCGACAGCGCAGCACACGGGTCGGGCGCGGCTCCGGACGCGACGAAACGGTCCACAGGGACGGCGTCGTAACACGACTTCACCGCAGGAGCCGGCGCCGGCGCAGGCGCCGGCGAAGCTGCCGTCGGCGCCGGCGGGGCTGTCGTCGGCGAAGCCGGGGCTAGCGTTGGGACTGCTTGAGGCGGCGCGGTAGCCCCCGCGGCGGTGAACGCGGCGCCGGGTTCCGTTTCGGCTGTGCTGGCGACGGGGAAAAGGGCGTCGTTCCAGAACCAGTGGCGGGCGGACGCGGAGGGCGCCTGCAGCAGCAATGCGAGGACGAGCAGGGGGAGAAGCCCCGCCGCGGAGAACTTGGCGCGGCGTTCTCCAATGACGGCCATTGCGGCCATTGCGCTGCGGCAGATGCTGCTCCGGGGGACTGGCTCGGTTACGACTCGTGCAAGAGAGGCCCAGCGGCGGTAATGGCACCGTTGCTGGTCAGGGGAGAAACCGTGCGGGAATGAAGTGTGTGGTGATACTCAAGCGTAAATATATACTGTACGACCGGCGAAAGTGGTTGGAACTTGGGCGCGAGTCGAGTCGGGATTGCCCGCCATCGCGACGCCGCCATGGTATGCGACGAGCCCCGCCGCTCAGTCGCCCAGGGCAGGGGCGGGATGCGACGAGCGCCCGAACCGAATATGCTTCGGTGTGGAGGAAGGACCACATAATCCTTTGAATGAGGACGGTTCGTCGCGCCGCTGCGACACATAGCCGCTGCCTTACGACTGTGCAATGCCCTGCGACCTCACTACGGAATGGAAAATGGCGAGGCTATTCCCTGGGATCTGATGATCGGTGGAGGCGAGAGGCAGCACGACTTCGAGTCGTGATACAGATGAAAGAACAGGATGAGCCAGCCGACTTTTGCGTCGAGGTGTTCCCTAGGTTCTCAGAACGAGGGCGCATTTCTCCGGCAATTGTGACGTCCTTTGGAAACGTGGATGTCTAAACATTTTCGTTAATTGATTCACTGCCAGGTTCCTAGGAAAACTTTCCAGTCACGAGGCGCTGGGAATGTCGCACCTATCCAAACACTTCAATTAAGTACCACTTTCAAGCGTCAAGTGTCGCGAGCAATCAGTGCAACCCGAGCTGGATTTCGAGAAATGTGTCACCCCTGGTTGCGGAGTCTGATTGTAAAAATGGGTCTGTAACATCTCGGGGATAGTTGGTGCACTAGGGAACGTGTACCAAACCGACAGGCTTGGTTCAGGTGTGTACGCGTTAAACGGAACAGGTATGGCAGATTTGTACTAGCAACACCTTATACTTCTTTAGGTGCATCTCCCCAGTTTCACATGTTCAGAATTCCTGGTTCTAGGAGTAAAATCCATTTCACTCATGCATTTGTGATTGCCAAAATCCCAGAACCACCCTGAATACGCGAACAGAAACGTCATCTCATAATTGCTTAGCTCAGACACAAGGGTGCCATCTCCCAAGGCGGCAGCCTCAACACTCTTCTCCACACACGCCTCAATGTGCTCTATGTCGTCCTCTCCCTCCACCATCAGACACACCTGGTAAGACTAGGGGAAGGGTGTGGAGAGGGTGGGGTTGGTGTTTTGTGCAACCCGTGCCATCCTCACCTTCCACCAAGAGCATGGCTGACCTCGTCGTGGTGGGGTGAAGAGTGAAGTGGGCTATCAGGGGCATATCGGCACACAGGAGTGAGTTCATAACCTTCCATTGTGCACTGTGTGACATCTCATGAAACAAAGCAAGGGTGGTTACATAAAAAACACCCCCGTCCCGTTCCTTCTATTTCCATCAACCCTTTCAACTCACATCAACCGCTTTCCACCCATGCCTGCTCCAAGCCCTCCAGTAACGCAATCTCCTTGGTGGCTCACCCCTTCGTGGCGCTCCCAATAGTGGCGCTCTAAAGGCCTCTCAGAAGCACAACCATTACGAGCTCCCTCTCCTGCGGTGCCATGCCCACCTCCTCTCCGCGCATCACATAAGCATCAATGTTTGCCGCTGCCTTTTGAGTCGACTCAAGAGTCATCTCGCATCAATGTTCGCCGCTGCCTTTTGAGTCGACTCAAGAGTCATCTCGCATCAATGTTCGCTGCTGCCTTTTGAGTCAACTCAAGAGTCATCTCGCATCAATGTTCGCCGCTGCCTTTTGAGTCGACTCAAGAGTCATCTCGCATCAATGTTCGCCGCTGCCTTTTGAGTCGACTCGAGAGTCATCTCGCATCAATGTTCGCTGCTGCCTTTTGAGTCGACTCGAGAGTCATCTCGCATCAATGTTCGCTGCTGCCTTTTGAGTCGACTCAAGAGTCATCTCGCATGAATGTTCGCTGCTGCCTTTTGAGTCGACTCAAGAGTCATCTCGCACCAATGTTTGCCGCTGCCTTTCGAGTCGACTCCATCCACCATCAGACACGCCTGGTATGACTCAAGGGGGTGATAGGAAGGGTGAGGTGAGAGTGTGGGGAGGTTAGGGTTATGTAAGCGTTGAAATGAGGTGGGCGCAGGTGACACACAAGTGTTGTGTCGTGATTTCCCTCCACTATCAGATATGCCTGGTGGAATACAAGGGGGTGACAGGTGGGGTGGGGTTGGGAAGAGGGTGGGGGAAGTGTATGTGGTGAGGGTAAATTTGGTTGCCTACGCTATCTTTGCTACTCTCATCTTCCACCATCTGAGAGACTGAGCTCGTTGGGGTGAAGTGTCAGGTCGGGTATGAAGCGCATACCAGGGGTTAGGAGCGATTTTTTTTTTTCCGCTGTGCACCTCACTCCTACCACTCTCAATCACTCCCACCACTCCCAATCACTCCCACCACTACCAATCACTCCCAAACACTCCCACCACTACCAATCATTCCCACCACTCCCAAACACTTTCAGCACTTCCAACCACTCCCAACTACTCCAAACCACACCCACCACTCCCAATCACTCCCACCACTCCCAATCACTCCCACCACTCCCAAACACTTTCAGCACTCCCAACCACTCCCAACACTCCCAATCACTCCCAAAAACTCCCAACCACTCTCAGCACTCCCAACCAATCCCAGCAATCCCAACCGCTCCCTTCACTCCCAATCACTCCCACCACTCCCAATCACTCCCAACCACTCCCAAACACTAGCAGCACACCCAGCCACTCCCAGCACTCCGAACCACTCCCACCACTCCCAACCACCCCAGCCACTCCCACCACTCCCAACCACCCCAGCCACTCCCTTCACTCCCATCCCAATCACTCCGACCACTCCCAACCACTCCCAATCATTCTCTGCACTCCCAACCACTTCCAGCACTCCCAATCAATCCCAACCATTCCCAATCACTCCCACCACTCCCAGTCACTCCCAACCACTCTAAACCATTCGCAGCACTCCCGACCACTCCTAACCACTCCCAACCGTTCCCACCACTCCCAACCACTCTCAGCAATCCCAGCCACTCCCACCATCCCCAATCACTCCCACCACTCCCAATCACTCCCAACCACTCCCAACCACTCTCAACACTCCCAATCACTCCCACCACTCCCAATCACTCCCAACCACTCCCAACCACTCTCAGCACTACCAACCATTCCCACCACTCCCAACCACTCCCACGACTCCCACCCACTAACACCTCTCCCAACCACTCCCAACCACTCCCAACACTCACAACCTCTCCCACCACTTACTACCACTCCGGTCACCCCCAACCACTCCCACAATTCCCAACCACTCCCACCACTCACAACCACTCTCAGCACTCCCAATCACTCCCACCAATCCCAATCACTCCCAAGACTCCCAATCACTCCCACCACTCCCAATCAATCCCACCAATCTCAATCACACCCAACACTCCCTACCACACGCAGTACTTCCAACCACTCCCAACCGCTCCCACCACTCCCAGTTACTCTCACCACTCCCAATCACTCCCAACTACTCCCAACCACTCCCACCACTCCTAACCACTCTTAGCACTCTCAATCACTCCCACCACTCCGAACCACTCCCACCTCTCCCATTCGCTCCTACCGCTCCCCCCAACCACTCCCAGCACTCCGAACCACTCTTAGCACTTCCCCCCAATCATTCCCGCCACTCGCATCCACACTCACCACTCTAACCAATCCCACTACTCAAACCCCTCAACTCTGCCAGCAGGGCGTTTCCCAGGAAGCCCATGGCGAGCAGCGCGAGGTCCACTGGAATCACCCCCACCAACACTACCACCACGCCAACCACTTACAACCACTCCCAACCACTAAGTTCCCAGCAGAGGCACTGACCTGCTCCGGGCCCAGGAAGTCCAGAGCAGCGCGAGGTCGATGGGAATCACCACCTTGCTCATCTGGAACCAGCCAAACACGCGCCGTCTCGATGCCCGTCAGCTCGCCCACATCGTTGCTGGTGAATCGCTTCATTGTACCTCGTAGTACCTCGTAGCACCTCGTAGCACCTCGTAGCACCTCGTAGGACCACTGTTGCTGATCACCGCCACCTTCTTGCTGCTCATGGGGAAGGGGAGTGGACAGAGGAGGGGGGTGGGAGGGGGAAGGAGGGTGGGGGTGGTGGGGGGGTGAGAGGAGAATGGAGACTGAATGACTTCCTGCAATCGGTGCTGCTCCTCCCCTCCCTGCTGCTTGCGCCCCTCTGCTGCTCATCCCCTTCTCGCCATTTCCCCCTCCCTGTTGCTCTGCCTGTCCTCACCATTTCCCCCCTCTCTGCTGCTCCTCCCCTCCCTGCCAATTGTTCCCTCTCTGTGCTCCCCCCCTACTCACCATTCCCCCCATCTCTGTTGCTCAACCCCTACTCACCATTCCCCCCATCTCTGTTGCTCAACCCCTACTCACCATTCCCCCCATCTCTGTTGCTCAACCCCTACTCACCATTCCCCCCATCTCTGTTGCTCAACCCCTACTCACCATTCCCCCCATCTCTGTTGCTCAACCCCTACTCACCATTCCCCCCATCTCTGTTGCTCAACCCCTACTCACCATTCCCCCCATCTCTGTTGCTCAACCCCTACTCACCATTCCCCCCATCTCTGCTGCGCGTCTAGCACTGCACAGTTGAGCTGCCATTCCAGCTCGACCGAGAATGCTTCGTTGTGAAACTACTCGCTTTACTCACTGGACAAACATGCCCATCATGTAGCACAATAAATGAAGTATACTTTTCCCCGTAAATAGCTTTCATATACGAGCATATATTATCTCCATGTATGCTGTACACCTTCGTTGCACGCGCAAAAAAAGCTACCGGTAGCAATCTGCACCAGCAAGTTGCGCTATAACTAATCCATCCAGCCATTGTTTTTTACATTGTTGCTGGAAAGAAAGCATCTTAGTACATGTGTTTGAGACAAAGGTGATTTGTTCTGCCCATAACAGGAATGAAATCAGCCAGAGTTATGGTATGTTATGTGAAACTGGATGATACAGAGAACACTCATTAGAATGATAGCTCACCCCGATCTTCAGGAGAAATACTGAATATCACGATAAATTAAACATCATCAGCACAACAACCACCATCCATCAACATACCCAAGCATGATAAATATCCACCACCAGCATAAGCAATTAGTCTAGGAGCCCCGTTTTCAACCAACACCACACATGGAGGGGCATTAATAATAAGGCTCAAGTGGTTCAACCACTGGGGTGCCCGAGGAATGGACTAGGCAGCAGCGGAGGCAAAGAGTTTGGCCACCTCAGTCCACATGGCCCAGGGCTTGTCAATGAGATCAACGGTGTAGTTGATGTGATGCTGGCTGGGCAGAAACTCAAACTCGCACGGAATCTCCGAATCCACGTAGGCATTGGTAAACGCCATGGTAAGCACCCCTTGCACCTTGAGAGGCATCGACCCCTTCTGTGGGTCCGTGGCAGCGAGTTTGTACAGACCTTCAGCCATCGCAAAGTAGTCAGTCAGGGTAAACCCGAGGCACGAGGAGCTCACATCGGGGGGCTGGTTGGGCAAACCACCCACGGCTACCATGGGTACTTTGTGGCGTTTCCCCAGGACGTGCGTGAGGACGGCACACGCAGAGTAGCAGTTTCCGTCCGACAGGACCACGAAGGGGCGGTCGCCAAACACCGGCTCTTTCTGCGTCACGGGAAGCTGCTTCCTGTAATCAAACTTGAACGGCGCCGAGTAATTCCCGGCACGGCCGGCCTCTGTGAAGCGGAGCTCGCGGAAAGGCGCGTAGTCAAAGACGCTCGAAAGCTCGGTGCCGTTCAGATCGGTGTACAGCCCTTGGTAGTAGTGCGGCGCCGTGGTGTTGTCGACAGAAAGCACACCCATGGCCTTCTCTGTGTACGGCGTGCCGATGACGAAATCCAAGGGGAGGGTGAACTGGGAGTCTGGGACCTTGGCTGCCCCCATTAGTAGGCGCACTGCTGTGTATGCTGCTTGCACGGAGCTGCCACTGTTGCCCCGCACGTCTATGATGATCTGTGTGGCGTTGGATCTGGAGGGAGAGGAGGGGGGGGGGGGGGGGGGGGGGGGGGGGGGGGGGGGGGGGGGGGGGGGGGGGGGGGGGGGGGGGGGGGGGAGGGGGGGGGGGGGGGGGGGGGGGGCGGGGGAGGGGAGGAGGGGGAGGACATGCGGAAATGCGGACGCATGAGCAGGCGGATGGCTGTGAATGCTGCTGCTTGCACGGAGCCGCCGCTGTTGCCCCGCACGTCTATGATGACCTGTGAGGCGTTGGATGTGAAAGGGAGGCGCATGGGGGGAGGCAGGCATGGGGGTGCATGGGGAGGCACAGATACACATGGGGACTGGGCAAGTGGGGGCAAGCAGGGGCAAGAGGGGGCAAGCAGGGGCAAGAAGGGGCAAGCAGGGGCAAGAGGGGGCAAGCAGGGGCAAGAGGGGGCAAGCAGGGGCAAGAGGGGGCAAGAGGGAGCAAGAAGAGGCACGAGGGGGCAAGAAGAGGCACGAGGGGGCAAGAAGAGGCACGAGGGGGCAAGCAGAGGCACGAGGGGGCAAGCAGAGGCACGAGGGGGCAAGCAGAGGCACGAGGGGGCAAGCAGAGGCACGAGGGGGCAAGCAGAGGCACTTGTTCACAAGGATGTTCCACGCTCTAAGGGCTTGAATCAGGTGCGTATGCATTAGACGAAACTGGAATGGCAATTTTATTTGCCTCCAGGCACATTTTCCCAGTTTCACAATATGAAAATTCCAGGTTCTAGATTCCCATCTCATGCATGCAGGTTGATAAGGTATATATTTATGATTGCGACATGGCATAACAGAACCTTGAACCACCCTGATGTTTTAATCACACTAATTCACTCCTAAATATAACCAGCCAGCAGACTTCAACCCAACATGGCAGCCTTGAGAAACTCTAATAGCTCTGCTCCGACACAGGGGTGCCGTCTCCCAAGGCAGCAGCCTCAACACTCTTCTCCACACACGCCTCAATGTGCTCCGTATCGTCCTCTCCCTCTACCATCAGACACGCCTGGTGGGGCAAGGGGGTGACAGGTCGGGCGGGGGTGAGGGGAAGGGAGGGTAGGGATGGTTGTCAGAGCAATGAGTCCAATCATCAGCTCCTTCATGGGGGAAAAGCTAGTGGGGCATATCAAGGGCATACCAGCCTTGAATATAAAACCCTCCCGCACCTGGGAACGCTCTCCCTTCCAGGCTCAATATGACTACCCCGTCCTCACCCCCCCATCCTCATCCCCCACCATCCCCACCCCCACACCTTCACCCTTTCAACTCACAATCCGCTTCCGCCCATGACTGCTCCACCCCTTTGAGAACCATCGCCCACCCAGCCTCCCCCACACCCATCAGCCCCACTCCCCAATCATCAACCAAACCCCTTTCAACTCACATCAACCGCTTCCACCCGTGCCTGCTCCACGCCCTCCGGGAACGCTCTCCCCTTCGTGGCACTCCCATTTGTAGCACTTCCATTAGTGGCACTCCCGTTAGTGGCACTGCCATTGGTGGCAGCGCTCCGCTCAGCAGCGTCCACAGCAGCAACAGTCCTGGCAGCCACCTCCACGAGCTCCCTCTCCTGCGGTGCCATGTCCACCTCCTCTCCACGCATCACATATGCGTCGATGTTCGCCGCTGCGCCACGGCCCTCCGCAATAGCCCACACCACCAGAGACTGGAGAGAAGGGGAGTGCAGGGGGACAGGCAGAAGGTGGGTTGTTTCAGAGTAGAACAGTGACTACCATAACATAGCAGGGAGGCAGCAGCTGCCCTGACACAGTTCTTCGCACAAAGAACAGTAGGAAGGCATTTCAAGGCACAGGAGAAGCGAGGCTAGGTAGCAGGGCCGTACCTGTCCGCGGCGGCAGTCGCCGGCAGCAAAGACGCCCTCCAGATTGGTGGCGAACTGCCCGTAGTCCGCCTGGAAGTTGCTCCTCGCGTCCGTCTTCAGCCCCAGCTTCTCCGCCACATTCTGCACCCAGGAGACGGAGGGGGTAAGGTAAGGGGTTGCCCCACAAGCACTCCGACCCAATGCACCACCACTACAGACACTCTGCGCACTCCCACAACTCCCAGCACACCCCAGGCAAGGCACTGACCTGCTCCGGGCCCAGGAAGCCCATGGCGAGCAGAGCGAGGTCGACGGGGATCACCTCCTCGGACCCCGCCACCTCGCTCATCTGGAACCTTCCAGAAGCGTCCTTGGCCCACTGCACGCGCACCGTCTCGATGCCCGTCAGCTCGCCCGCATCGTTCCCGATGAACCGCTTCGTCAGCACCTCGTACGACCGCGGGTCGGATCCGAACTTGGTCTTGGCCTCCTCGTGGCCATAGTCCACCCGGAAGATACGCGGCCACTGGGGGTAGTAGAGGAGAGAAGGGGTGGCAAGGGGTGGTTGTGAGGGAGAGAGGCCCATGAATGAGAGCAGCTGGCACCGGGGGTGCAAGGCCACACCAGCCAATGGGTTTTACTACACAGCACATCAGCCAGGACAACAACCGTACCTGCGGCCAGGGGTTGCCATCGGCGCGGGACGGCGGCGGCTGCGGCAGCAGCTCCAGATTCACCAGCGACTCGCACCCGTGCCTCAGACTCGTGCCAATGCAGTCCGTGCCCGTGTCACCTCCACCAATCACGACCACCTTCTTGCCCTCCGCCGAGATAAACCTCCCGTCCTTGAGCCCGCTGTCCAGCAGCGACTTGGTGTTCGCCGCGAGGAAATCCATGGCGAAATGCACGCCCTTGAGCTCGCGCCCGGGGACGGGCAGATCCCTTGGCTTGGTCGACCCGCAGGCAAGCAGCATGGCATCATTATCTGCTCTGAGCTTATCCAGGCTGTACTGCTCGTCGACCCCCGCGTGTGCGTTGGTGACAAAGGTGATGCCCTCGGCGGCCATGAGGTCCACGCGGCGCTGCACCACGTGGGTCTTGTCCGTCTTCATGTTGGGCACGCCGTACATCATCAGCCCGCCGATGCGGTCCGCCCGCTCGTAGACAGTGACCGTGTGCCCGCGCTTGTTCAGCTGGTCCGCTGCGGCTAGACCGGCCGGGCCACTGCCAATCACCGCCACCTTCTTCCTGTAGAGGTAAGAGGAGGGGGGGTAAGGGTTAACAGGTGAGGTTTTGATTTAGTCAGAACCTTAATAGCAGGATTCCTAGTACGCACAGCCATAGCATATGAGATTTGGTTGTGGTGATTTAGTAGAGTTTGGAACCTTCCCATTCCCTCACACTCCACCAGCCAAAACACTCCCTCCCCCCCCAATCCTTACCCGGTCCTCTTGGCGGGCGGGCGGGGCACCATCCACCCCATCTCATACGCCTTGTCAATAATACTCAGCTCCATGGTCTTAATCGACACGGGGTTCTCAATAATCCCCAGCACGCACGCGCCCTCGCACGGCGCGGGGCACACCCGCCCCGTAAACTCGGGGAAGTTATTCGTCTCGAGCAATCGATCCAGCGCCTCCTTCCACCGGCCCTGGTACACCAACTCATTGAACTCGGGAATCTTGTTCCCCAGCGGGCACCCCGACTTGTCCTGGTTACAGAAGGGAGTGCCGCAGTCCATGCAGCGGGCGGACTGGGTCTTGAGGAGCTCGGGGCGGCCGGGGTCGGAGGCGAGAACCTCGCCCCAGTCGGTGAGGCGCTCCTCGGCCGGGCGGTACGGCAGCGGCTCGCGCTCGTACTTCATGAAACCGCCAAACTTGACCGGCGTAGGGAGGCGCGTGGGGCGCTTGGGGGGTGCCTGCTGGGAAGGGCGGGGGAGGAGGGGGGAGTCATATGCAGTAGGTGAGAGGGAATGGGTAGGACGTGAGAGGGAATGGGTGGACGTGAGAGGGAATGGGTAGGACGTGAGAGGGAATGGGTAGGACGTGAGAGGGAATGGGTAGGACGTGAGAGGGAATGGGTAGGACGTGAGAGGGAATGGGTAGGACGTGAGAGGGAATGGGTAGGACGTGAGAGGGAATGGGTAGGACGTGAGAGGGAATGGGTAGGACGTGAGAGGGAATGGGTAGGACGTGAGAGGGAATGGGTAGGACGTGAGAGGGAATGGGTAGGACGTGAGAGGCATGGCGTTTCGTGGGAAGAAGGTGGCCTGATCCACTGCAAGGCAGCGTGGGCCAAACATTGGAACGAACGAGACAAACATAACAGCAGCAGCGGACCCGTTGACTTCCTGCTTCCCCCCACTCGCCTCCGCCAGCCTCTAGAGTTCCTCAAACGACAAAACGAACGAAAACCAGCACAACAGCAGCCCTCACTCACCACAGCAGCGGACCCGTTGACCTCCCCTCCACTCGCGGCCGCCAGCTTCTTGAGCTCCTCGAACGCGTCCTTCTCCTTGAGCGCCGCGGCCTCCTTCTCCCGCTTCACCCGCTCCTCCTCCAGCACCCTCTTAAAGTCCCTCGGGAACACCTTCACGAACTTGGGCAGCAGCTCCTCAAACTCCGCCAGCACCTCGCCTGCCAGCTTGCTCTTGGTATACCTCTGGTGCTGCTGAATCATGGAGCGCAGCAGCAGCACGTCTGCCTCTTCCACTACAGGGTCGAGGTCGACAAGCCCTGTGTTGCATCTCTTGTGGAAGTCTCCCTCCCGGTCGAGGATGTACGCCGTCCCGCCGCTCATTCCCGCAGCGAAGTTCTTCCCAGTGCCGCCCAGAATCACCACCGTGCCGCCCGTCATGTACTCGCACCCGTGATCCCCCACACCCTCAACAACCGCCCTAGCTCCAGAATTCCTCACTGCAAACCGCTCCGCAGCCATGCCGCAGAAATACGCCTCGCCAGACGTAGCACCATACAGCGCCACATTCCCAATGATGATATTCTCCTTGGGATCAAACGTCGACGCGGCGGGCGGGTAGATAATCAGCTTCCCGCCAGACAGCCCCTTGCCCACATAATCATTGCTATCCCCCTCCAGCTCCAGAGTCAGCCCCTTGCAGGTAAACGCGCCGAAGCTCTGCCCAGCGCTGCCCGTGAGCTTGAAGTGGATCATATCAGCAGGCAGCCCCTCCAGGCGATGCACCTTGGTGACCTCGTGCGACAGCATGGTCCCCACGGCGCGGTTCACATTCACAATCGGCACCTCGGCAAACACCGGAATCTTCTGCGCGATCGCCGGCTGCGCGAGCTGAATCAGCTTCTGGTCGAGCGCCAGCTCGAGAGCATGGTCCTGCTTCTGCACGCACCGCTGGGCGGCACCCGGGCGGAGGGTGGCAGCGGGGGTGAGCAGCACGGAGAGGTCAATGTTCTGCAGCTTGGGGTTGGAGTTGCAGAGGTCCATGTCCTGCTCGAGCATGTCGGCGCGGCCGATCATTTCGTCCATGGTCTTAAAGCCCATCTGCGCCATGTACTCGCGCGCCTCCTCCGCCACCATGAAGAAATAGTTGATCACGTGCTCCGGCTGCCCGGAAAACTTCGCGCGAAGCACCGGGTCCTGGGTCGCAATCCCGACCGGGCACACATTCTTATGGCACTTCCTCATCATAATACACCCAAGGGTAATCAGCGGCGCGGTCGAAAACCCAAACTCCTCAGCACCAAGCAGCGCCGCAACTGTGATATCCTTTCCGGTCTTCATCTGCCCGTCCGCCTGCAGCACAGTCCTGCCGCGCAGGTCATTGGCCACGAGCGTCTGGTGGGTCTCGGCGATACCGAGCTCCCAGGGGAGGCCGGCGGACTTGATGCCGGTCCAACGGGACGCGCCGGTGCCGCCGTCGTGGCCCGAGATGAGCACGTGGTCCGCATGGCCCTTCACTACTCCGCTTGCAATCACTCCCACGCCCGCCTTGGACACCAGCTTCACGCTCACACGCGCACCGGGGTTGGAGTTCTGAATTCAAGGGGGGGGGGGGGGGGGGGGGGGGGGAGGAGGGGGGGGGGGATGGGAAAAGACAGGGATGAGGCAGAGATGAGCACGTGAGCGGCCTGGGTTGGAGTTTTGGGGAGTTAAGGACGGGAGCGAGACAGGTGGATGGAAGGGGAAGGCATACATCCAGGACAGGGTTTAGGAGGTCGAAGTGAAGAGGACGGGCGTATATGAGGACATGGTCCGATTCACCCTCAACTAGACCGTGGTCTGACCACACATCCACCCTAACTCTTTACGCTGCAGTAAGTTTTTGAGATTTCTCAAAAACACCCCCCAGTGAAGAGGAAGGGCGTGTATGAGGACACGGTCTGGTTCACCCTCAACTAGACCGTGGTCTGACCACACATCCACCCCTTACGAGCTTATATGAACTCTTCATCACGAGCTCACACCCACTCATTCCTTGGTCCCCTTGCGCCTGAACCTTGCCCCACCCTGGCCGAACTTGTGATTCCCCAAACATGCTTACACGGGGTTACCAGCCTCCCTCTCCCACCCCTTATCCATATCACCGGTCGCTCACACCAGCTCACCTTGAGATCGTAAATGAGCTGCGCCAGATCTTCAATGGAGTAGATGTCGTGGTGGGGCGGCGGGCTGATGAGCCCCACTCCCGGCGTGCTGTTCCTCGTCACAGCAATGTCCCCAATCACCTTGTGCCCGGGCAACTCGCCTCCCTCCCCGGGCTTCGCGCCCTGAGCCATCTTAATCTGAAGCTCATCCGCGTTCGTCAGGTAATACGCCGACACGCCAAACCGCCCGCTCGCAATCTGCTTGATAGACGACCTGAGGATATTGTTACTCCCGTCCGGGTTGGGGACCAGCCGGGACGGGTTCTCGCCTCCCTCGCCCGTGTTCGACTTCCCTCCAATCGTGTTCATAGCAATCGCCAGGCTCTGATGCGCCTCAAGAGAGATAGACCCGTAGCTCATGGCTCCCGTGCAGAACCGCTTCACAATCTCGCTCGCCGGCTCCACCTCCTCCAATGTGATCGCGCCACCTGGCGCCGGCTTGAACTTCAGCATGCCGCGCAGGTTGCACTGCTGGTTCAGCGTGTTCGTAATCGCCGCATACTCCTTATAAGCCGCCGGGCTATTCGTCCGCGCGGCCTCCTGCAGCCGCGAGATCGCCACCGGATCGTTCAAATGCACTTCCCCACCCTTCCTGTAATGGTAATCCCCAGGGTTCGGCACAGCAATGGCGTCCGCGGAATCCTCCGCAAGGTTCTTCTCGGTTCCCAGCGGGAACGCCTGGTCGTGCATGCGGATCGCATCAGCCGCCAGCACGTCAAACGACACGCCCTGAATCCTGCTCGCCGTGCCCCGGAAGCACCGGTCCACCACATCGCTCGACAACCCCAAGGCTTCGAAGATCTGCGCGCCCTTGTACGAAGCCAGCGTGGAAATGCCCATCTTCGCCAGCACCTTGAGCATGCCGGCGTTGCTCGCGTTGAAGTACGTGCGGATGAGCTCGTCCTTGGTGCGGAGGGACCCGTCCGCCTTGGGCGGGATCTTGCCGTCAACTTGCAGGCGCCAGATGGCCTCGGTGGCGACGTAGGGCGAGATGGCGTCGGCGCCGAACCCCACGAGCGTGCAGAAGTGGTGCACCTCGCGGGGCTCGCCCGACTCCACCACGATGCCGATCCGCGTGCGCTGCAGCGTGCGCACCAGGTGCTGGTGCACCGCGCCCACAGCCAGGAGCGCGCTCACGGGCACGCGGGTCGGGGATGTGGCTGCAGGGAAGGGCGGGTAAGGGGAGGGGAGGACATGACGGGAGGTGTGAGTGCGTGCGCTGCAGCATACGCACGAGATGGTAGTACAGCGCGCCCATCATAATCAGCAGTGCACTGTTGGTTTCGACTCTTACTGCCATGTAATGTGGCTCATACCAACAAGAAGCATCTGAAGTGCTTGGTCCCAAAAGATAGGCACAAACCCAGATCAACACCTTGGGACGTCACAGAAAACACATCTCGAGATTTGCCAGCACTCGCACATCTCAGCCTCTAAACCCGAAACCCGAACCCTTCACAACACCCAACACCCAAGCCCAGCAGCACCTACGCAACCCTGACCTGAACCCCTACTCACCTCGGTCGGACAGCACGAGCATCTTGTATCCAGCCTCAATCGCCAGGCTCGCCTCGGCACAAATCCGATCCAGCGCCTTTTCCAGCCCGTCCGGCCCCTCGCTCCTGGCGAACGTGATATCCACCACAGCCGTGCGCCACCCGCGGTGGTCCATCTTCTTCATCGCCTCCGTCTCTTCCGGCGTCAGCAGCGGGCCCTTGAGCGACAGCCTGTGCGCCTGCTCCTCAGTCGTCTCCGTCAGATCCCCCTCCGGACCCACCATGCACTCGGTCGACGTGACAACCGCCTCGCGGATGGGATCAATGGGGGGGTTGGTGACCTGCGCGAAGAGCTGCTTGAAGTACTCCGACATGAGCTTCGGCCGCGTGGACATGCACGCGAGCGGCGTGTCATTCCCCATGGATCCCAGCGCCTCGGACCCCGTCTGTGCCATGGGCAGCAGCAGCATCTCCAGAGCCTCGATCGTGTACCCGAACGCCTTCAGCGGCGTCGTCAGCCCGTTGATACCCATCGTCTCCATTGTCTGATCTGCGGAGGGATCGACTTCCGTAGCCCCCTCGATCGGCGGCGGCACGCGGTCCGCCTCCGGGACGGACGCGACGATGTCGCCGAGCGTCAGCTTCTGATTGGCCAGCCACTCGCCGTAGGGGCGCTGGCTCGAGTACTGGCGCTTGAGCGCCTCGTCGTCCACCACCTCGTGCTTCTCGAAGTCCACCAATAGCATCATTCCGGGGTTCAGGCGGCCCTTGCGCGCCACGTCAGCAGGGTCCACGTCGACGACGCCCACCTCGCTGGCCATGATGACGCGGCCGCTGTGCGTCACGTAGTAGCGGCCGGGACGCAGACCGTTGCGATCAAGAGTCGCACCCACGTACTTGCCGTCGGAAACTGCAGCATGGGGGATGGAATGGGGGGATAGGGAGGAGGTTGGAGGAGAGGTTCGAATAGAAAACCAGCTCTTGTCATGGAGGCAGAAGGTAATGAGAGCAGGGAAATAAACCAGTAGAACACAGGCTATGAGAGCGGGCAATCCTAGGTGATTAGACGGTGTGGGCATTGAGAGGTATAGGGTAGCTTACAGGCGATGAGGGCGGGCCCATCCCAGGGCTCCATGAGTGCGGAAAGGTACTCATAGAGATGCTCACACAGGCAACGAGAGAGGTGAGGGACTCACAGGCGATGAGAGCAGGGCCATCCCAGGGCTCCATGAGTGCGGAAAGGTACTCATAGAGATGCTCACACAGGCAACGAGAGAGGTGAGGGACTCACAGGCGATGAGTGCAGGGCCGTCCCAGGGCTCCATGAGCGCGGAGAGGTACTCATAGAGATGCTCACACAGGTAACGAGAGAGGTGAGGGACTCACAGGCGATGAGAGCAGGTCCGTCCCAGGGCTCCATGAGCGCGGAGAGGTACTCATAGAGATGCTCACACAGGTAACGAGAGAGGTGAGGGACTCACAGGCGATGAGAGCAGGTCCGTCCCAGGGCTCCATGAGCGCGGAGAGGTACTCATAGAGCGCCTTCTTCTCGGGGTACATGTTCTTGTCGTTCTGCCACGCCTCGGGAATCATCATCATGACCGCCTCGGGCAGCGTGCGGCCGGCGCGCACCAGCATCTCGAGCACGCCGTCGAACGCGCCCGAGTCGGACGAGTTGGCGTCGATGACGGGCAGCACGGCGTCCAGCTCCTCCTTGGAAATGCCGAGCCCCGGGCACTTCATCAGCCCCTCGCGCGCGCGCATCCTGCGGCGGGGGAGATGGTGAAGTGGTGGTGTTGGTTAGATCCTGAGAACCCACGAGCCTTTTTCGAGCTGCTCGTTTCTGGACCTAGTGTGCGACAGACCCAGCGTGCGACAGAACCAGCGAGCGACAGAACCAGCGTGCGACAGAATCAGCGTGTGACAGACACGGTGTGCAACAACAGGCGCAGCGACTGACCAGTTGACGTTGCCCTGCAGCGTGTTGATCTCGCCGTTGTGCCCCAGAATGCGCATCGGTTGCGCGCGCTCCCAGCTCGGGAAAGTGTTCGTTGAGAACCGCGAGTGCACCTGGTAAAGAGAGAGGGAGAGGGGGAATGCGCGGTTAGTGAGGGAGGAAACGGCGCAAAGTATTGCTGGAAGCGACAAATCTAGCCAGACCCAGCGACAAAGCTGGGGTGAATTCAGTGCGAACAAACAGGAAGGCATGGGGCCGCGCGGGGGGACGAGCGAGAGGGCGGGCGAACGGGAGAAAGTGGATGGGCAACTCACGAGGCCCATGTAAGAGGTGAAGCGAGCGTCGTCGAGGTCGGCGTGGTAGTAGCCCTGCAGCTGCTCCGGCTTCAGCTGCCCCTTGTAGACAATCGTCCTGCATTGCCCCAAACATGCACGTCCACGCACCCGCACGTACACGGGAAAGACGTGTCAAGCACTAGGACAGCATGGTCGCCTTGCACAATCACTTTTGTTTCCTCATATTTTCATCGGATCTATGCTGTTTCCTCACACGTGCTCAGACTGTTGCGTAAATGCCAACTCGGTGACCCGGTGGAAAGCCAATCCTTTTCTTGAAAACAAAGAAACTCTCATTGTGAAAATGGTTATCGACAAGCCAACAAGAAAAAAGTGGAAGGCCCATGGGACAAACAGTCCGATGGACCAAGCGAAAGGATGAATGGACGAAGAGACCAAGGGATCAACGAACCTGGTGGAGAGCGAGCAAATGTAGAAGTCGCGGGTGCCGCCGACCTTGAGGTTGAGCGCCTCACGAACGGCCTTCATGGCAGTGCGGCGCAGCAGCCACATCTGCTGCTCGGCCTCGAGGTGCGAGTCCTTGTTGACGAGCAGGAAGACCTGCTCCACGATGGGCTCCGTGTCCAGCGCCGCCTTGCCCAGATCCGCGTTGTCCGTTAACACGCGCCGCCACCCCAGCACCTTGCACCCCATCTCCTCCGCCACCTGCGGCGCGAGATCGCCAGAAAGGATCACCAAAACGGATCACCACCATGAAGGACAAACAAACCACCAACAGGGGGGGTCAGAGTCCAGCGAAACGAAAGGAAGTTCGGTCATGAACGATAAGTTAAGGCGAGCGTTTGAGAACATGCGCAAGAGAAATTTGGAGTGGTGGCACGACGCGGCTGGGGTGTGGAGTGCAGAGCCGAACCTTGTTGAACGCCTCCTTGCCGCGGTTCCTGCGCTTCTTGTCCGTGGGGAGGAAGCACATTCCCACGCCGTACTCCCCCAGCGCCGGGAGAGTCACGCCAGCATCCACCTTGGCAACCTGCACAGTAAGAAAAAGGATTAATCAAAACAAACAAACGAACGACGACGCACCGTGAGTTTAGGAAACAATCCGTCGAACAAATCTATCGAGAAAGGGACAAGATGGAAGCAGGAAAATGCAGCTGCCATAAATGCAGCCGAACATATCCTAAAGCTCGAATCCAGAGACGAGGAGGCTGGGGTGACGGCAGTCACCTTGACGAAAAAGTCGTGCGGCAGAGCCACCATGATACCGGCGCCGTCACCCGTGTTGACCTCGCAACCGCACGCACCACGATGCGCCATGCGGATAAGCATCTCGAGCGCGTCAGTCACCTGGAAAGAAACACAACCCACAATATCGAGGTAAGCTACAACGGAGCTGTATTGAATACAGAAGAACACAGCCGCGTGCTGTGTTAAAATTTCCCGTAATTTGGGTAAAAACATATGCAATCGAGGCTAGCTAGAATGCTACCGAACGATCTGTTTTTATCTCAGCAGGCTTGCGGACGAGAGTATCTGAATCTGGATAGACGTTCGAGAAGGGTTGTGAGCAGCTTACAGTCTTGCGCGTGGGGATCTTGGAGAGCTCGGCAACGAAGCCGACACCACAGGCGTCGCTGTCCAATGCAGGGTCGTACAGGCCCATGGGCTCCTGGGGAACCTTAGAGAACTCGGCCGTCGTCACGAGGCGTCGCACGGGGTCGTTGGAGGCCTTGCGCGACATAGCAGGGGATCGCACGGACTGCTTCGACGACGGGAGGCTGGCGGTGCTCTTGAGGCCATTGAACTTGAGAAACGCACCGCGCGGTTGGAAAGGGGTAGAGGAGTCCTGCTGCTGGCGGACAGAGCCTGACACTGGCGCTGACGGCAGCGACAGCGACAGCGCACGGACAGCCGCCATTGCTACTGCTTAGCTCTTACGAACCAAAAAGAGAAACCCTATAACAGGTCGTGAGCACATGCAAAACACACCAAGTTGTGAAACCTGTTGGGTCCTCTTCGAAAAAGCTTCTTCGAAAGAGAAGCTCACAGATAAGAGCGAGAATGAGAGCAACAGGATTGAGAGTCAGAACATCTAAACATCCACATCCAACTTCCCTCCCTCGTATCTCCAAGCTGTTTCGCCTCACCAGTGGGTGGATGGATTCACTGCAGCACCAAACCTCTAGGCTCGTTGTGGGCTTTCTCTAGGGCCAATCCATCCGTCCATCCTCCAGACTTCCCATCATCCTACCATCCATCCATCCATATCCATTCATCCACGGATTCCATGCTCCAAGCAGCCAAACCCCGAGTTTGGGGTTTTTTTCACCCTCTTACTATGTGCCACCTCGTCCCGTGCGTGTGGCATGTGGTTCGGCAGGCAGCACAGCACTTCCTGCACCCAGCCCAAACATGGTCCCTGCCCCAAGAGGGAGACTTCGAATCTGTTCGGGCAAACATGTTCCTTGACTTGAGCCAAGTGGCTCGGGCTAGGTCTGGCTTAGCGGCGCAGATGCGGCTTGAGTGGAAATCATGCGATTGGGCGAAAGCTGCCTAGCTTTCGCTTCTGACGCGTTGTCCGAATATCATGCGTGCCGAACCTCATGTCCACCAATACGAACTGTTTGTGGCTCCTCCGAAGCCGTTGAGACTCACTTTCCATTGGAGATCGCTCACGCATGCCACCCTGAACATCTCCGTGGATCTGGTTCGGCTTGGGCAGGTCCGATGGGTGAAGCTTGGCGGGATGTGTGTATCTATCTTTGCCTACTCCAGCTGGGAGGCTTCGCAGTCGCGGATTGGTGAGCCGCAATGGAAAAGTTCAGTTCCACATCGGCATTCTGTCAACGTGTCTGACGCTCACTCGGCAAATTCCGAGCTGGGCCAGCACGGGCTCATCTTCAGCTAACCAGACTCCCGTATTCATACTCTTTACTGGAGACGGATGACTGGAATGGCATTTTCCCGATGGTTGTTTCATGTTTATGCTAGGACGTCAACCGTCTGTATTCCATCTGCCTAACACACATCTAGTTTGCGGTGGGGAGGGGAGTTCACATTTCAGAGCGTCCACCAAGCTAGGAAAGCAGAAGAGAAGAGGAATGACTGGGATACAACACGTTATTTGACTGGAACACAGGCAGGAGCTGAGTGATAGTTGGTCTCTCTTGGATCACAGGTGGTTACAGTTGTACCGAGTAGTGATCATTGTGCAACATTTCATGGCTTTGCATCACAACGCGGTATCCATTCCAATTCGTTGCTTTGGTTGCTCAGTTTACCTTCACTCACAAATACAGTGTATGGTCGTATCGACGTCATCATCTCAACCACCAGCGACTCCTGCATTCCATGGCAACTGGCACTGACACGACTACCTAGTCAGAACCGCAAGCAAAGACCAAGAAATCAAACCCACAGAACTACAATGAGAAGCTTTATAACATCGCAGTGTTGAACTGTATGTAGGCTAAAGTACACCGCTCAGCCAACCAGCACCTTGGTTTCATCCAAGAACTTGTAAGTCGGCACTTCCAGGTTGGTGGGAGCCGGTCCTTTGCGAATACGCCCTGAGATGTCATAGTGCGACCCGTGGCACGGGCAGAACCACCCGCCGTAATCCCCCGCATTCGGCAGCGGCACACACCCCAGATGTGTGCACACGCCAATCACAACCAGCCACTCTGGATTCGGCGCCCGGGCCGAATCAGGCTCGGGGTCCCGAAGCTCCGAGAGGTTCACGTCATTGGCCTTCGCCACGTCAGCAGGCGTGCGGCGGCGGATGAACACCGGCTTCCCGCGCCACTTTACGGTAACCGTGTTACCAGGCTCGATGTTCCCAAGGTCCACTTCGAGCGAAGCCAACGCAAGCACATCCTTGCTCGCGCTCATACTGAGAATGAATTTCAGCACGAGCAGGCGGAGAGCAGACGCGTAGATGAATCGGCCGCCCGTGAGGACGAGGTAGGTGAAAGCACGCTTGGAAGGGTCCCCGGGCGGCAGGCGCTCGTGGATGGTGGTGTCGTAGGTGATGGTGGCGGAGGGGGTTTTCAGGGCGAGCTCCGTGGCGGAGATGGGCGGAGCTGTGGTGAGTGCTGCATCCGCTGCAAAGCCTGTGAGGGGGGAGGGGAGGGGTGGGAAAGGGGAAGCACCCGAGGGAAATACTGGGTTGTATGGTCAAGACACGGCAGGCGCTCGTGGATGGTGGTGTCGTAGGTGATGGTGGCGGAGGGGGTTTTCAGGGCGAGCTCCGGTGGGCTGGCTGGTGGTCAGTGCTGCATTGGCAGCAAAGCCTGTGAGGGGGGAGGAAAGGGGTGGGAGGGACGGAGCATCTAAGGGGGGAGAGGAGTGGCGTGAGGGACAGAGCATAACCGTAGAGATCTGGTGGGTGGCTTGGTCGTTGATTATGGGAGGGGCAGGCGTCTTGTTAGCGAGCTCTGGTGGATGGGAAGATGCAGGGGTGGATGGGGGCGGGCAAATCTGTGTCCACAGCGAAACCTGGCAGGGATCAGGGGAAGGTCAACGGAAGACTGAGAGGAGGGTTGGTGAATGGGAGGGTTAGTGCAGGGATGCGACGGGTGGGCAGGGATGGGAAGGATGGGCGTGGGGATAAGAGCGGAGATGCGAGTACGGATGGAAGTGTGGCAGCGGAAGGTTAAAAAAGGCGAAACGCGACAGATGCGAGGATTGAAACAGCATTCGAGGCTCGAGAGGCTTGAAAGGCACGAGAGGCTTGAATGCCTTGGAAAGGTTGAGGGGCATTCAGTTTGTGAGGGGAGGAGATGACAAAATTACGAGGAGGAACAGGGAGGAACGAAAAAACAAGCGTCAGGAGAATGAATGAAGAGGCAAGAGAGGATCTAGACGAGGGAATGGAATGTGGGACGAAGGAAACGAGGAAAAAACTCGTCTGATGTATTTTAACAGAAAATGCAGGAGCTGGCACTGACGCAACATGCGCCAGCTAGTCAGCCCATCTGAGAGCACCTAGACACTCAGATAAGCTTTCCCATGGCCCATCTAAGTGCCTCGTGCGCAAACAATCAGACACGTAAACGCTCGCGTGTGCCATGGATGTGTGAAGGTTGGCAAAAGGGAAGACGAAAGACACAGGAAGAAAACAAGGGAAAGGGGAACAGGACAAGGATTTCCGACGTCGATAGATCGTACGACGACAGCCGTGCTACGAATCTAGCGATTCGACATAAAAAAACATCAGCCATTAAGCGGAAACCGTGACCTTGATGGCGTAGGTTCTTTAAAAAACACTGACAACAATCGTCCACCTAAGTTGTTTCTGTACGAATCAGTTGAATCCACTTGCACGGCAGACAACGCAAAATGAAGCCCCAAGTGCTTCTGAGCTGGCAAATAAGGAAACCCTAACCGCGGCTGCACAAGCTGAACAGCCGTTTCATCGACTCTCGCAAAAACGAACCTCGGGAGAAGCAGAAATGGGGTGGCGATGGGATCGCTGCGGGCGATTCGGTAATAGAGGATGGAACGGGCGTGAAAGGCGGTGACGACAAGATCGCATGGCGGTCGGCGATGGGAACGGTTGCGATTGATCGCAGCAGTGCCGGAGACCGCGCGATCCCGAGATCCGCGGCCTTGCGGCCGAGATGGCGCGACAACATGGCGCTACCTCGTATCAGATGCGCGTGTGGGAGCAGATGCGACGGTTTAGGAGGCACTGACACGAACCTCCTAAAGATGACGTACCACGGAGGAGCAACAGCCTGGGCTGGATGGCTATGGAGGGGGGGTTGGGCAGGGTGTACCTTTGTACTCGTTATGAGCTTCGGTTCGAATTTGTGCTTCTGCGCACCTTTGTCATATTCGATAAAGACGACCTTCTCAGTCAGAGATTGTTGGCATTATAACCTGTTTTTTTATACCAGACATAATTATGTGATGTGTCTGATTTGACAGAAGAGGGAAAGTACGAAACACAGTATAACGGAACCATGTGCACTCTGCTTCGCTTTATTCTTCCGAAGGCTTTGATGCTTCTCAATTTCAACTACCGCGCGAATCAACTAAAGCTGGTGTCTGTTTTTGTTGCGATCAAAAGGGATCGTAACCAGGATCACCTCAGGAAGGTTCGCACAACTCTAGTGAAGTGGTGGTGGGCCCTTGACCTCAATAGCAGAGTGAATGTAGATGCTTGAGATAATGAAAACATGCAGTACAAGGAATATAAATATGAGTGCAAGGGAATTCGAAACGACCTAACTAGCCATGTACTCTAAGGGGTACATTCCCTCATTGCAGCGAAACCCAACCGTGCGACTCCGGGTGATTACGTAACTGTTCGGGCAGAATCCTCGCTACTGCTGCTGTCTGATGCTGTCTGCCCGACGGTCCAGATGCTCTTCGTAACCGTCTGTCCCTTCGCGTTTCTTCTGCCTTTTCGTCTTCACTCTCGATAGTGTGTGCTTCGGCTTTGCTACGGTGAGGAGTGCGCAATAGTGTTTTTCATTAACCACTATTCGTAATACCCCCCTTCACTCCTGGCCGTAGCGAGCATTGACCCGCTTGACTACTCCGCTGAGTTCGGAGCAGTGCTGGTACTGCTGACGCGACAGTTTCTTCGTAAGGAAATCTGTTGCCATGTCACCCGTTGGGCAGTATGTCAGGTCAACTTTGCCCTTGTCAACTTCGTCCTTGACGAAGAAGTACCGCAGCGCGATGTGCTTGGTGCGGTTGACGAAGCCAGGTTTGTTCGTGATCCTGATCGCGCTCTGATTGTCGCAGTGCAGGCGAAAGTTCGTTGAGGCCGGAATTTTCGCTTCCTGCAGCAGTTCCTGAAGGTAGAGACCTTCGCGAACAGCTGCTGTTGCTGCGATAAATTCAGCTTCCGCCGATGACAGGGCAACCAACTCCTGCTTCTGGGAGTTCCAGGAGATGGGGCCGCTG